TCTGGTAGAAAGGACTTTGCACTGTCCAGTCAGTAGCCACTGGCTACACATGGCTAGTGCAGCTGAGGAATGGGATTTCTGCTTTATATTAGCTTAAATGCAAGTTTAAATAGCTTTCGGCAAGTGTCTACCATACTGGAAAGTGCAGATACAGAACGTCTAAGCGCCACGCAGAGTTCCACTGGACAGCGCTGGCCTGAATCCTGAGGACTGCTCTCAGGACCTGCCTCAGGGTCCTGTACGGGGGCCCCCAGCCCAGCACAGGCAGGTCACGGTGACCACCGGGAAGTGACTCAGCTACCCCCACCCCCAGATGTGCTTCCAGGGAGCTGGGCTTCCAGGCACTGGCACAGGACGTGCGGCTGAGGAACCCGGTGGAGCCTCCCACCATATTCATTGACCTGCGGCCGACAAAGACATCGGACCAGAGACCCTTGGACAGGTACGGGAAGCTCAGACTGCCCTGCGGCGGGCCTGCTGCTTCGGGAAGAAGGGGACTTGGACAGGAGGTCCTCGGGGCTCCACTCACTTGAGAAGTGCTTTCACCCAGGAACTGAGTCTGGCCCATAATCCCATGGGGCCCCAGCCACAGGCCCTCCCTGCAGGGAGGTGGGAAGCTGGGGCGGGGGGCTTGCTTAGCCGAGGCTGGGGTACCCGGCCCTGGCCGCACCCCTCCACCACCTGCAGGAAGCTCACTGGCCCTGTGGCTTTGGCCGGCTGCCCATCCTCCTGTCTTGGATCACATGGGAGCCCTGGGTGCTTCAAGTCCCTGGTGGGAGCCACGCCGGGCCAGAGTAGACAGGACATGTCCAGAGGAACCCACCTCTTGTCTGCCCGCAGCTCCAGCTCCTACTCCAGCTCCTCTGACAGCGAGGAGGCGGAAGAAGAGACAGCAGCTCAGAGAGACCCGCAGGGCCCAGCCAGGCTATGGTAACCACAAGGGGCGCCCCTCACCGTCATAGGCGGGGATGCTCACCTGGTCCCAGCTTGTGTTTTTAATTGCTGCTCTCAGCATCTTGCACTCACAGGGCTGGCACAGGAGGGTGTGGGCTGCTCTGGGAGGCTGGCAGGGTAGCCCAGCCTGCCCTACTCCCCTCCAGACAACCCCCAGGATGCCTTAGCTTGATCTCAAGAAGGGGTTACATTTTCTTTCTGAAAAATGGCTCCGCAAATTGACTTGCTCCCTGCCAGTGATGGCAACAGAGGTGAAGAGATATTGCAGGGGTGGGACTATGTGATGGTTAATGGCCGGAGAGGAAAGGCTCAGGTCAGCTAAGTGAAATGTCAGATTCAGGGAAGGCTTGGGTTTCTGAGGCGCGGGGGCCACCCCAGGGCCGCAGGGTGAATTTGCACTAGATGCTCTGGAAGTCCCTGTCGCTTTTGGACTTCCAGACCTTGCAGATTCTGCCCTCTGGGAACATCAGAGTCTACTGCAGCTTTCCTCCCACGTGGTGTGTGGCTGGACATCCCAGGAACAAAAAGGGGAGACGCACCGGGGTTGAGAAGTGTCCTCCCAGAGGCCTTTAGCCTGCTGATGTGCTCTGTGACTCGGTGTGGGCCGGGAGGCCGCAGTCCTGCTTTCTTTAGTATCCTGAGAACCAGGCACGCGCTCCAGAGGCGCCCTGGCTTCCCTCTGCTGGCGTCCTGTTTCGGGCACAGACCCCAGGATTGTGGTCCAGCACTGGGAGGCGGGCTCCACTCGGTGCTGATGGAGGGCACTGTGTCATAGGGACTGCACGGGGAAGAGTCGGCTCCTCCAGCAGCTCAGGGCATCTCGGGAGGCGGCGGCGCGGCCTCAGCTGCCCGCTGGCGAGAGGCCTGTCTGTCAGAAGGCTCAGGCCCCTGGATTTCCGGCTGGGTCCAGCCCTGGGGTGAAGCAGCACGGAACGCTCTGGGCCGAGAGGGGCACACAGACCAGACCCGCAGGGGTAAGTCCCAGCGACAGCCCCGGAGGCCTGGTGCCTCCTCGGGGTCAACCGTAGATGCCTCAGGTCTGAGGAGGTGAGCTGGTGATCTGACTTGCCTTTGACACCAACACCAAGGCACTGGGGGTCCCCTCACTCTCCTGCTCCCATCTGCAGCACAGGGACCCCCCAACTGGGGCTCTGCTGCAGCCTTCTGCTGGAATTCAGTCAGGACATCTTCACGCGCTGACAGCGAGGACGCAGTGCAGACCTGTACATACAGCATGACACGTCACCTGGCCCCACAGCCTCCAGAAAGGGGCCAGGCGGAAACACCACGGAGACAACAGATTTGTTCTGACAGTGGGACTAGGGGCTTTCTCAGCTTTTTCCATTTCTGCATTTTTTTTTCCTCTTTAATGTGCATCTATTGATTTCCATCATATAAGTGTTTTTTTTTTTTTTCTTGTAACTACAAAACTAAAACTTCTTTAAAGAATTTCAGGGCTGAAAAGGTCTTGAAAAACTTAGCTTGATTTTCTGGGTCCTTGATGTTTGCTGTTTTGAACAAACCACGACACACACACACACAGACAACACACACCACACACACACAATGTTTGGATGGAAGGGTGAACTGAAATTTGCTCTTTTTTCCTTAACCAAGACACAAAGGCGGCGTGTATATAATCATGTTCTAGGGTCCTTCCAAAGTAAAGGTGGGTTGACTTTTAAATACAGAATATGAATGTTCTGACGCTGGAAACTGTCCCATGGACAGTGGAGCCAGGCCTGCCCGTGTGGACAACCAGCAAGAGCTGAGGCGGCTCTGCCGTCTCCCTCACTGATCCTTTCCTAGCACTACTGCCAACCTCCACCAATTTGCAGTCCTTTCGTTGGTTCTTGGCCCAGCTGCTCCCAACAGGCCCTACTCTGCGACAACTCTGTTCTGACTCCAACTTGTTTTCAAGGTCTCAGCGCCCCTCCGCCCTGTCTGCCCCATGGGAAGAGTAGAGCGGTTGGCTTGAACCCCCTGTGCCAAGGGTTCAGGCAGCCCGGCACGGCCCTTGGCCTCTGGGCATGTGTTCCAGCGTTCAGCTGGGGTCACCACTGGCTGCCAGGCCCTGAGGGTGGGTGAGGGCCTCCTCCCCACCCAGCCCCCTGCAAAATACGGCAGGCCCTGCCCAGCCACAGGCAGCCAAGATCAGGGCCACAGACTCCACTTGATCTTGCCACGGGGGCCTCGCCGGCAGCCCCCATTCTCGACAACAAGGAGCGTTTTCACTACAAGCCAGATGTGAGCTGGCTTCCAAGGCCACACAAGGCCCTGTGGAGCCTGTTCTGCAGGGACTGGAGCCAGACTACCATCACCAGGGACCCCCAGGCCCTCTCCTCACTGTGGAGGCCCCCGCCCTCCACTCCAGGGCACACACAGCATGGTCAGAGCTCAGGCCCTGGGCACACAGCCTCCTCTAGTCACTAGCTCTCAAGAGCAAAATCTATTGGGGTGGGGGTGGGGGGGTGGTGGAGGCAGAAGGCCAGACCGTGCAGCAAGCAGAATCTTGGTTCCCCAACGAAGGATCAAACCTGTGCCCCCTGCATTGAAAGCATGCAGTCTTAATCACTAGACTTCCAGGGAAGTCCTGCAATGGCTATTTTTAAAATTCCATTTCCCCTACTCTCTCTACCCTTTTTAACGGCAGTTAAGTTCACTCAAGATGTTTCCCCAACAGTGACAGAAAACAAAATCTTTGTCCCAAGTTCAACTCTGCTAACTGTTGAAGCAGCAGGCCAGGAGGGTGAGGGTTGAGAGCGGGTCCTGCCCCTTGGACAAGGTGCTTCAAACTCTCAGACCTCAGTTTCCATTGAGAATGGGAGAACGTGAAGTCCTGTTACAGGACAGGGAGACTGTCAGGGAACAGGCACTGGATTCACCCAGCTCTCAGGCCTGGCAGAGGGCAGCTACATCCAGCAGCAGATGGGATGTGAGAAGTGAGTCTGTGAGGGGCAGGTGGGTGGGCCATTGGCGACACTGACGTGGCTGGATCTGGGTGGATGCTACGTGTCCCACAAGCTGGCCCAGAAGAGAGAAGCCATCCCTAAACTGGGTGGCCCCAGTCTCCCGAGAACACACACAACAGAGCACAGCTGCCAGGATGACTGACAGATGCTGTTTATTAAGGAAACAGAGAAGGGCAGTTCACACCCTACAACAAGGAGCGTTTTCACTACAAGCCAGATGTGAGCTGGCTTCCAAGGCCACACAAGGCCCTGTGGAGCCTGTTCTGCAGGGACTGGAGCCAGACTACCATCACCAGGGACCCCCAGGCCCTCTCCTCACTGTGGAGGCCCCCGCCCTCCACTCCAGGGCGCACACAGCATGGTCAGAGCTCAGGCCCTGGGCACACAGCCTCCTCTAGTCACTAGCTCTCAAGAGCAAAATCTATTGGGGTGGGGGTGGGGGGGTGGTGGAGGCAGAAGGCCAGACCGTGCAGCAAGCAGAATCTTGGTTCCCCAACGAAGGATCAAACCTCTGCCCCCTGCATTGAAAGCATGCAGTCTTAATCACTAGACTTCCAGGGAAGTCCTGCAATGGCTATTTTTAAAATTCCATTTCCCCTACTCTCTCTACCCTTTTTAACGGCAGTTAAGTTCACTCAAGATGTTTCCCCAACAGTGACAGAAAACAAAATCTTTGTCCCAAGTTCAACTCTGCTAACTGTTGAAGCAGCAGGCCAAGAGGGTGAGGGTTGAGAGCGGGTCCTGCCCCTTGGACAAGGTGCTTCAAACTCTCAGACCTCAGTTTCCATTGAGAATGGGAGAACGTGAAGTCCTGTTACAGGACAGGGAGACTGTCAGGGAACAGGCACTGGATTCACCCAGCTCTCAGGCCTGGCAGAGGGCAGCTACATCCAGCAGCAGATGGGATGTGAGAAGTGAGTCTGTGAGGGGCAGGTGGGTGGGCCATTGGCGACACTGACATGGCTGGATCTGGGTGGATGCTACCTGTCCCACAAGCTGGCCCAGAAGAGAGAAGCCATCCCTAAACTGGGTGGCCCCAGTCTCCCGAGAACACACACAACAGAGCACAGCTGCCAGGATGACTGACAGATGCTGTTTATTAAGGAAACAGAGAAGGGCAGTTCACACCCGGGTGTGTGGGGTGTGTGGAAAAGTAACAGTATGTCTAGTGATGGGATGGAACATTCTGAAACCCAGAGGTTTCAGAGCTGCTCCACTTGTGGCGACAGCAAACAAGGCCTCTTACTGCGCCACTCGGCCATGTGTGAGGCCACAGACAGGAACCGATCAGAGAGGCATGGCCACATCAGAAAGACAAAGAGGGGCAACCAAGGCCAGCCTGCATCCTGGGACATGGCCACCTGGGCTGGAACAATGGCAGCCCTGGCACCTCTCCTGGGGAAACCCCCAGACTTCCCGGTGGGCAGGGGAGGTTGGAAGGAAGGGTCTCAGGGAAGCGTTCCCGCACCAGCCATCCATCCAACAGGACAGCCGTGGATCTGCAAGGGGGACCCCCAACCACTGTGATGCTGGAGAACCCCCTCAGGCTACACCCGGCAAGTGTGGTGAGGTTGGGGGAAGGAGAAGAGCAACCCTGGGAGGATGGGGACATGGAAAGCTGCAAGCGGCCACAGCACCAAGGCTTCCCCCAAAGTGGGCTGAAGGACGTCCCCCAAGTCAACAGTCAGAGCCTTAGAGAGGGCCCCACTTGGAAACAGGTCCTTGCAGATGTAACAAGCTAAGATGAGGTTGTTCCAGACTGAGTGTGCCCTAAATCCAATGACGGTGTTCTTACAAGACAGGAGCACACGTGGAGACACAGAAGGGGCGGGGGGAGAGGGCGGTGCGGGGGGAGAGGGCGGTGCCAGAGCCCTGTGGCCACAAGCCCGGAGGAGACTGCGGAAGGGACCCCACCCGAGCCTCCTGAAGGAGCAGCCCGCAGGCACCTTGACTTCAGACTCTGGCCCCTGAACTGAGAATTCCCGCACCCCTGCGTGCGGTCCTTCGTGGTAGCCCCGGACCCCTGATCCGGTCCTTCGTGGTAGCCCCGGACCCTGATCCACCTGCGGGTCCTGGCTTCCTGCTCACACTGGGCCCACGGGAACAGAGTCTGAAGACGCCGGGAGACGGGGGAGCTGACTCCGGGACTGAAACGACCCTGCAGGTCCCCGAATGATCAGGCCCAGGCCCCAGGCGTGTCCTGGAGCCCTGGGGGTCTGCGCAGGGGCTGCTCCCCGCCGTGCGTGCGCTGGTGCTTGCGGAGGTCGGTGCCCCGGCGGAAGCCCCTGCCGCAGGCCGGGCAGGTGTGGGGCTTCTCGCCCGTGTGCGTCCTGCGGTGCGCGCTGAAGTGTGAGCTGTTGTTGAAGCGCTTCCCGCAGAGCTGGCACTGGTAGGGCCGCTCGCCCGTGTGCGTCCTGCGGTGGATGACCAGGCTGGAGCTCTGGCTAAAGCGCTTGCCGCACTCGGCGCAGGCGTAGGGCTTCTCGCCCGTGTGCACACGCTGGTGCGTGCTGCAGTTGGAGCGGTCGCCGAAGCGCTTCCCGCACACCTGGCACTGGTAGGGCCGCTCGCCCGTGTGTGTGCGCTGGTGCTTGGCCAGGTGCGACGTCTTGCGGAAGGCCTTGCCACACTCGGGGCATGCGTGTGGCTTCCGGACCCCGAGGGGCCCTGCTCTGTCCTGAGGCTGCTGGGGTCTGGTCTGGCCGGGCCCCAGACCCAGATCTGGGCGCGCGTGGGCCCACCCTGTGCTCAGCGACGCGTCCTCCCCGGCGTCCTCACCAGCCTCCAAGCGCCTCCCACGCCCTGAAACAGACAGCACACGGCTGAGGGCTCCACGGGGAGCGGGGAGGGACAGGGACGCTCGCAGAAGGCGGGCAGGGGCGCGGCGGCCCATCTGAGGCGGAAGATGCAGGGCAGTGCCTTCAAGGGCCGTTTCCACACGTTCCTCGGGCACACGTCACTCAGAGCTTGAGTCCAGGAGCTCAAATCAGGGGCAGACACTCAGAAACACACAGCAACTCATCCAGGCCTGTGAGGTGGGGCTGTGACGGGCCCGTCTACACTTGAGGACGCGGAAGCCCACGACTCAACAGGGGAGGGACAGGCCCTCCGAGAAACATCCGCCCCCACCCCCACACGGGCCCCTCCGTCTCCACACTGGCCCCTCCTGTCTCCACACTGGCTCATCCAGGAAGCCAAGCGGGGCTCGAGCTCATGTTCGCCTCGTCTGTACGACTGAGACGTGATAGAACCGCCGCCCTGGCCTTTGGGGAGAGCTTTTACAGAGAGCCGAGTCTGGCAGCTCCTCAGGCGGTGACACCGAGTGACCACATAACTGTGCAGTTCCACCCACAGTGCAGGCCCAGGAGAGTGAGCTGGCCGGGCGGCACTCGGGACACCCTGGTGGGCCCCCACCTGGCCCCTCATGTCTTCCTTGGGACTGGGCTCCCCGTCGCACCTGCGTGCAGCACGGTCCCAGTCGAGTTGGCAGGACTCTCTCCTGCAATCCTGAGGGCGTGCCTCTTGACCCCTCAAGCCACCTGTCTCCCCCGACCTTTCCTTCAGGTGGAGCTTAGTCTTGGCAAGCGAAGTTTCACACACACTCGTGTCTTTTCCTACCACCTGTGACTGCTTTTGCACCAGGACGGCAGAGCTGAGGCATCGCAAGGGAGACTGCGTGGTCCCTAAAACCTGTTTACTTCTGGCCCTTTTTGGAAAAAGTCTGCCAGCACTTGCTCTAAGCCCTTGAGCTTGAAGCCCAAAGACACAGTCACCAAAGTCTCAGCCCAGGAGAAGCGAGATTTTCATCTGGGATGCCATCTCCTCGTAGACACCTTACCTGAACTGGCTCCACCAGAGACCTCCCTTGGCCCTGAGGCTGCTTGGCTGCTCCCCGCCGTGCGTGCGCTGGTGCTTGCGGAGGTCGGTGCCCCGGCGGAAGCCCCTGCCGCAGGCCGGGCAGGTGTGGGGCTTCTCGCCCGTGTGCGTCCTGCGGTGCGCGCTGAAGTGTGAGCTGTTGTTGAAGCGCTTCCCGCAGAGCTGGCACTGGTAGGGCCGCTCGCCCGTGTGCGTCCTGCGGTGGATGACCAGGCTGGAGCTCTGGCTAAAGCGCTTGCCGCACTCGGCGCAGGCGTAGGGCTTCTCGCCCGTGTGCACACGCTGGTGCGTGCTGCAGTTGGAGCGGTCGCCGAAGCGCTTCCCGCACACCTGGCACTGGTAGGGCCGCTCGCCCGTGTGTGTGCGCTGGTGCTTGGCCAGGTGCGACGTCTTGCGGAAGGCCTTGCCACACTCGGGGCATGCGTGTGGCTTCCGGACCCCGAGGGGCCCTGCTCTGTCCTGAGGCTGCTGGGGTCTGGTCTGGCCGGGCCCCAGACCCAGATCTGGGCGCGCGTGGGCCCACCCTGTGCTCAGCGACGCGTCCTCCCCGGCGTCCTCACCAGCCTCCAAGCGCCTCCCACGCCCTGAAACAGACAGCACACGGCTGAGGGCTCCACGGGGAGCGGGGAGGGACAGGGACGCTCGCAGAAGGCGGGCAGGGGCACGGCGGCCCATCTGAGGCGGAAGATGCAGGGCAGTGCCTTCAAGGGCCGTTTCCACACGTTCCTCGGGCACACGTCACTCAGAGCTTGAGTCCAGGAGCTCAAATCAGGGGCAGACACTCAGAAACACACAGCAACTCATCCAGGCCTGTGAGGTGGGGCTGTGACGGGCCCGTCTACACTTGAGGACGCGGAAGCCCACGACTCAACAGGGGAGGGACAGGCCCTCCGAGAAACATCCGCCCCCACCCCCACACGGGCCCCTCCGTCTCCACACTGGCCCCTCCTGTCTCCACACTGGCTCATCCAGGAAGCCAAGCGGGGCTCGAGCTCATGTTCGCCTCGTCTGTACGACTGAGACGTGATAGAACCGCCGCCCTGGCCTTTGGGGAGAGCTTTTACAGAGAGCCGAGTCTGGCAGCTCCTCAGGCGGTGACACCGAGTGACCACATAACTGTGCAGTTCCACCCACAGTGCAGGCCCAGGAGAGTGAGCTGGCCGGGCGGCACTCGGGACACCCTGGTGGGCCCCCACCTGGCCCCTCATGTCTTCCTTGGGACTGGGCTCCCCGTCACACCTGCGTGCAGCACGGTCCCAGTCGAGTTGGCAGGACTCTCTCCTGCAATCCTGAGGGCGTGCCTCTTGACCCCTCAAGCCACCTGTCTCCCCCGACCTTTCCTTCAGGTGGAGCTTAGTCTTGGCAAGCGAAGTTTCACACACACTCGTGTCTTTTCCTACCACCTGTGACTGCTTTTGCACCAGGACGGCAGAGCTGAGGCATCGCAAGGGAGACTGCGTGGTCCCTAAAACCTGTTTACTTCTGGCCCTTTTTGGAAAAAGTCTGCCAGCACTTGCTCTAAGCCCTTGAGCTTGAAGCCCAAAGACACAGTCACCAAAGTCTCAGCCCAGGAGAAGCGAGATTTTCATCTGGGATGCCATCTCCTCGTAGACACCTTACCTGAACTGGCTCCACCAGAGACCTCCCTTGGCCCTGAGGCTGCTTGAGCTGGGTCCCACGGGCCTTCTCCTTGCCCCTGCAAGGCGGTCAGACAGGGCCCAGGTGTGGGGAGTCCTGCTTGTGGGGAAAGAGAAGAAAGGATGTGAATGTGGCCGGGACGGAACACAGGACTGCAACAACCCCCTCCTCGTGAGGGCAAAGGGGTATCAGGAGAACCTGCGGACAAGCTCAATGCCTCGAAAGACAGAGAGGGAGACGCTGGGCTTCTGTGCAGACTGGCTGCTCAGAGAGGAGGAAGTGAGTGAGGAAACAGGGCCCACGGCTCTCCCTGGCTCTGGGAAGGAAGCCAGGTGCCCCGAGGCGTCAGGGTCTCACCATAACCAAGTGGAAATGGCCAAGAGTCACAACACACGCAGGAGGCAGAGGGCACAGAGAGGTGAGACAGCAGCGCTGCAGACCCAGCAAGCCAGTGTTCTCAGCAACAGACAAGTTTCTTCTTGTTGTGTACACACTTAAGTTTGGAAAAAATCAGGATATAAATGAAAGTACATGATCATTAATTTTCTGTGCTAAGCTGGTCAGGCTACGGTGTCACCGTCTGGTTACATAGCAGGCTTTTTTTTTGTTCCTGGCCACATGGCTTGCAGGATCTTGGTTCCCCAACCAGGGATTGAATTTACACTCTTGGCAGTGAAAGCACAGAGCCCTAACCACATTGGCCACCAGAGAATTCCCTAAATACCAGTCTAGATGTTGCTGTGGAGTTTATTTTGTAGATATAATTAATATCTACAATCAGATAACTATAAATAGAGCAGATTGCCCTCCACATTGAGGGTGGGCCTCACCAAATCAGTTGAAGGCCTTAAGAGCAACACTTGAGGTTTCCTGGAGAAGGAATTCTGCCTCCAGACAGCAGCCAAGAAGTCCTGCCTGGGTTTCCAGCCAGCTGGCTTGCTGTTTAAATTTCAGACTTGCCAGCCACCACAATCATGAGAGCCAATTCCTTAAAATAAATCTCTCCATATACACACATCCTAATAGTTCGTTCTCTCTGGAGAACTCCAACTGATACAAAGCAGGGTCTCAACTCCCTTAGAAAACATCTCAGGAAGAGAAGAGGTGTCAAGAGTGGCTGGGCAAGCTGAGAAGGGACAGCACGGGGTGGTGAGGAGAGGCTGCAGACAGCCAGAGCCTGGCCAGGAGAAGCCCTGCCCACAGGGCCCGAGCGTGGTACAGAGGCTGAACTGACACTGGACAACGGCGTGGCGAAGGAGGAAAAGAAGGCACCCAGGACAGCTCTGGGCGTCTGCCTGAGACGGGGCAAGCACCACACTGCCCTCACTGCAGGCGGGGGGCCGACAGGACACCCAGTGGCCCTGGTGGTGCAGGCTGCGTGCAGCTGCTGCTTAGCAGACTCGCCAGGGAACAACCCTGACTCACTCAGGCAAGTCCTGGACACAAGGCCCACGAGTTCCTACTGTTAACATCCTCCCCAGGGATTCTTCAGGCCACTAAGGTTTGAGAACTGCTGGACTGGCTCCTAAAGGTGGGGGGAGCCAGGGAAAGTGCTCAACAGGGAGGTGGCCAGGGGCCTTGGGTCCTGGAAACCAACACACACCCTCAGTGAGCCCGAAGGAAGGGGCACCCTCCCAGAGACTCGCCCACTCTGAGACATTGCGCGGCGTCTGACGGCGTCTCCCCACGGCACCTGCATCCTCCAGCAGCACGTCGCAGCTGTGGTCCTGCTGAGCCAGGTCCAGGCAGCCCCACTCCTCCTGGGACAGGTACATGGCCACACCCCCCAAGGTCACCGGCACCTGCGGGAGCGCAGCTCGCTGAGCCCATGCCCCTGGCCCTGCAGGCGCGGCCAGCCTGCTGGGCCCGCCCATCCCCTCCTCTCGTGTGATGACGGAAGGCCCTGCTTCCCCCGCCTTCTTCCCTTCCCACCCTTTCCCTTTCCACATGCTGTTATCCACCCTCCCCTCCGAAGCTCAGCTCAGGCAAGGCTGAACCCTGCTCTTCAGGAAACTGTCACCACTAAGCTCCATGCAGTGCCGCAGGGCCATGGGCAGACGCGCTACGGGGGGCAGCTGCGTCTGCTGAGATCTCACCCACTGGAGCCGACACTTTCCAGGTTTACGAGTTAGCCTGCCCTGCCTCAGCTCAAGCCAGGCCCGGGACCCAAATGGGGTGACTGGGGACTTCAGGATGCCTCTAGGCCAGTGGTACCCAAGGTACCTGGGGGCACAGTTAACACCCAAACAATATCCAGAAGAGGCAAATGCACAGAGACAGAGACTGGGAGCTGCCAGGGAGCTGAGGGAGAGGAAATGAGGAGCGACTGCTAATGAGTGGGGGATATTTTGGGGAGGTGATTAAAATATTCTAAAATTTGATTGTGTAAATACACTAAACACTGTATACTTTAAATGGGTGAATTGCATGGTATGTGAATTACACCTCAACAGAGCTGTTATTGAAAACAAACAAAGGAGATTAGGATTCCAGGCCAGGTCTGGGGGAAAATTCTCTAATTTTAACCCTGATCCCAGGAGATTTTAACATACAGCTGGGTTTGAAGCGGTTGCCCGAGCTTACCACTAGGACCACAGAATCCTCCAGCACACACCTGATACTCAGGTGGCATCTGAGAGCAGGTAAGACTTCCCAGGGGGTGAAGGTCTGCCTCGGAAACCCACAGACCTGACCACTTGAGAGAAGTGTGCTCGTAACAAGGGCGTGGGATGCATGGGGATGCTGCAGAGTGGGAAGCTGCTCACCTGGGACCAGGCTGAAAGGAAGGATGTGGCCAGGGCTGCCGTCTCCTGATGCCGTGAAGCTGTTGGGCCTGGGGAGACAGTACAGAGTCACCCACCCATGCCCACAGCAGCAAAGGCTGGACAGGTTCAGCTATCCCTCACGGATGCTCACCTGCAGGGAGCCCGCCCACCCCACAGGCACGCAGGTCTGACCAGCCACACTCCTTCCCCTTTTCCTTCCTGAGTGCAGTGCTCCGCTTTCCTCGAGAGGGGCAGCTACTCACCCCTTTTTGGCCAGAGCGAGGGGTCTCCTCTTGGCCTATGGCTCAGCTGGGCTGGGGGCTGCTGGCTGGAGTCTTGAGCCCCTTCTCCCAGGGACAGCTCCTCTGGCTGGGCTTCCACCTGGTGTTTCGAGAACCACTTCTCTGTCCCATGGGACAGTGCATCATCAGGGAGCAACTCTGGATCCTACAACAGACAGAGATCTGCCCGCCAGCTCCTAGAAGGCTGGGGGTGCCCACAGGTGCCCCACCCCTCATCGTGGGCACCCTGGTCCCAGGCTCTGCCTCATCACTGGGCCGCCTTGTTCAGTCTGACGGCCTCTGCAACCATCCACGTGCCGCCCTTCAGCCAGCCCCCGGGGGAAGGCCGGTGACCTGGGAAGAGGTCAGGCTCCCAAGCTGGGGAAGGGGAGGCCTGGTCCACTCCTGAAACTCTGCATCTCGCCCTGTCACACCATATCATATTCTCACCCTTCCTCCCTTCCATGAGTGTTCCTGAAAGGACTGAGCCAGGAAGGCCCCGAATCAGCTTTCATCTTGGAAGTCTGAGTTACTGCACTTGTTCCACTTCTGAAGGTCATCTCCAGGCCCTCTGGAACCATCTACCTCCTAATTCCAGGGACGGCGAATCAGACAAAATTGGGTCTCAGAGAACACTGACCGTAACCATACCAAGGACAAGAGACGTCCCTGGGGACCTGTGAAACCAGTGCCAGGGACCCTGTCCCAGGCTTAACATTCCACAGCTCTGTCACCCAGAGATGATGGTGCACGGTGGCAGAGGAAAGCCCGTGCCAGGGACCCCAAGTGCCCAGGCTGGCAGGGGTCTGAGAAGGGCTCCTGAATTCCTGTTGGCCATCTCAAGGCAAGATTTGCTTACTGCATTCGACTCATCTTGTGAGTAACTCATCTTCCCAGTAACTCAGACTTCAGGTTTTTTTTTTTTTTGGTGGGGGGTGGGTGCTGCTCTCTTTTGACAGATGCAAAAGAACAGCAGTGTGCAGCCAATGGCACTGCTACAGGATGAAAGGTGACCTGCAGAGTTTGCCAAGTATCGAGTCAGGAGGACTCAATCTGACCCAAGCAGAAGAGATATGTAAGAGACTCCCCACATTTGCTGAGGAGGAAAGTGCTCTTGAGTGGTGCTCTCTGGAGAACGTTCCATGATGATGGAAGTGTCCCATATCTGCACTATCCTTGTTCAACAAGTAGCACTTGGTCACATGTGACAACTGAGCCGCTGGAAGGTGGTAAAGTATGTCCTACGAATTTATATTTTATTTAATTATAATAAAAAGAAAAACCACACATGGCAGCTACTGTATTGAATGGTACCGCTCTGGAGAGACAGGGGCTTTAATCAGAGCATCCATCAGCACCTGTTCTTTCTTCCTAGAGCTCCTCCCTCTTTGGGAATCTTTTCAACTCTCAAGGTCCAGCCTTAAAAGGCCTCCAGCCTCCCTCCCATCAAAACCTATGTATATTGGGATGGTGTTAAGGAACCAAACCATATAGCTCAGAAAGGGCGATTGGAACTATAGTGGTTAAACAATAGATGCACACACACTAGCCAAAGCTGGGAAACTCTGCAGCTACCTTCCTCAATGTCAGCCCAGAGCCCACGGGACCTACAAACGCAGACCTCAGCAGCAGGGCCCCGATTCCTCACCTCAGGGCCCAAATGCCCCCCACCTCACCCGCGGCCTCTGCTTCCTGGGCTCCCGCTGCAGCCCTTCCACGAGGACCACGGCCTCCTCACCACTCTCTGGCTGCTGCTCCCGCACCCGGGCCTGGATCTCCCCCGGCAGCACCGTCAGGAACTGCTCCAGCACCAGCAGCTCCAGGATCTGCTCCTTGGTGCGCAGCTCGGGCCGCAGCCAGCGGCAGCAGAGCTCCCAGAGGCGGCTCAAGGCCTCCCGAGGTCCCGCCACCTCCTGGTAGCAGAACAGGCGGAAGAGCTGGCGGAAGGTTTCAGGGCTGGGGTCTTCCGCCTCCAAGGAGGGCTCTTCTTCCCAGCAGTAGTCATCCTCCACCTTCACGACGAGGATGTCACCCTCGAGGATGTCACCCTCCTGCTCCAGGGCGGCCAGAGGCTGGGGGCCGGGAGCGGTCGCCATTGCTCCTGGCGGCCCTTGCCCTTTCCCCGGCCTGGAGATAACGCCTGTCTCTCCCTGCACCTCTGGCCAGACACTGGGAAAGATGTTTTCAGGGCTCTGTGGAGAGACAGTAAACTCATACGGGGTACAGCACAGGGACTGGATAAGCGTCTGCACCCAAAAGCCCCTGCCCTGGCCCCAAGGCCAACTCTCCCTTATTGGCAAAAGAAACAGTTAAAGTAGATCAACCTGTCTGCACTACTAACCCCATAATTCCCAGGAGAACCCCCCCCCGCCCCCGCCCTGGAGAATTTCTTAATCTCTGGGCCTCAGTTCCTCAAGTGAAAGAGGAGGTTGCTGAGAGGACTAAACAGGATGTTTTAAAAGGGTTTACTTTTTAGTACAGAGCCTGGAAGGCGGTCACAATTCGAGAGAGTTTTCATTTTCACAGTTTGCCATTTGGGACGAGGTCCCTCGAAAATATAATGAGAATCTGGGACCTCTCTGCCCAGGAAGGCTTAGATTCTATCCCAACCTGAACCCGGATTTCGGGCCCCACGAGCCCCACCACAGCCCCTCTCCTTCCAGTGTCTTGACAAGGTCAGGACTCTCTGGCCGACCTGCTTTCCTGTCTCGCCCCTTCAGCAAGAGGGACAGCTAGGACCGAGGCCGAACATAAACCACGCTCCATCAAGCGCCGCGGACAGAAGCTCGAGCGGGGACGCTGCGTCCGCACTCACCGACAGCACTGCGACTCGGGGGGAGCTCGCGGCGGGCCGGTGCTGCGGGGTGGAACCGGAGTGGGACAGTGGGTACGGAGGTCTCGGTGGTCCAGAAACTAGGACCAGTATCCGCGCATCACAAACCCGAACGCTCGGAAGCGACCATTGGCTGAGCCGCGCGTCGAGCCGGAGAGCAAGGCCGCGAGGGCCGCCCACGGGAAGCATTCTGGGTAACGTAGTCCTCGCACGCTCAAGCCCGCTGTTGAATGGGAATGGGTCTTGGTGGGCGGGCCAACGGGAGGCATTTTCTGTAACGCAGCCCCTTGGCTGAACCTTAGGTTACCTCAGGTAACGCAGCCCTTAGGCTGAACCCTATTGGCTGAACCGACTTTCACGCAAAGAAACGAACTACGGAGCGACTCTGCTCCGCGAGGTGGGACCCGCTCAGTTCACAGAAGCCTGGCGGACTACAGCCCACTGGGTCGCAAGGGCGGACACGACTGAACTGAACTGAACTGAGGCCCCGCGGGGTGCACTGTGGGTAATGTAGTCCTCCTCCGGCTAAGCCGCGCCCTGGGTTAGAGGGGTCCTGGGAGGCGCTGTGGGCTCCCTGGTAGCTCAGCTGGTCAAGAATCCGCCTGCAGTGCAGGCGACCCCACTTCCTGGGTCCACTGGAGAAGGGGTAGGCTACCCACTCCAGTAGGCGTAGGTGATAGTAGCCCTGAACCTTAAGTGCGCATGTGTGAGTGCTACAGAGGCTACCCAGCTACTTGGCCATTCTCCCAGCTTCCGTTCTACCACTCCCCGCTCCCGGCCTGAGAAAGTCCCAAGGTGGAGGGGACCCTGGAAATTTACTGTTTTACTTACATAGTACTATGTATGTGCCAGGCTCTGTTCTAAACGCTGTGTAATTACTAAATCGGTTCCTCCTTGAAACAAAGGAGGCTTTATTATCCCTGCTTTATAAGGTCAGTAAGCAGAGGTGCAGGGCTTCCCTGGTGGCTCAGATGGTAAAGAACCTGCTGCAACGCAGGGGACCTTGGTTCGATCCCTGGGTCGGGAAGATCCCCTGGAGGAGGTAATGGGAACCCACTCCAATATTCTTGCCTGGGAAATCCCAGGGACAGAGGAGCCTGGAGGGCTACAGTCCATGGGGTCGCCAAAGAGTTGGACACAACTTAGGCAACTTAGCAGCTAAACAACAACAAAACACAGGTGCAGGGGTTCAGTGACCTGCCCAAAGGTCCAGCTGGGGTGAGGCTGGAACTCAGGTGTCTTAGTTCAACTCCAGTTTTAGAGGCTGGAAGATGAAGCCTGACAAAATTGGTGCATCTTGGTTATCAACTGCTTATTTCTTCATTTGTCAATCTGATCAACACATATGTATTGTATTGGCCTCTGCTCTGACCCAAGCAGGCACCATGAACAGGAGGTGAACTGGACAGTCAGTCCTTGGTGTCCCTGTGGAGCTTGGAGGAGGGAGGTGGAGGCAGGTAGGGAGCTCTGAGCAGGCAGAGGATCGTGGTGAGGCTTGTGTGCCTGGCGGTGAGTATTGAGAGCTCCATAAAATCACTGACTAACCACCAGACGACCCTGAGTCCTTCAGCGCTGGCATCCCCAGGCCTGGCACCTCCCACTGGCTTCCTTCTTTCCATCCACTTCATTCTCGCTTCACTCTCCATTCTTGCTCACGTTCCACTTCTCCCCCTACAACCAACATCCATTTTCTCTTGTGGCACACAGGCAGAACAAGACGCTGGGCTGCTCACCCCGACTTCTAGGGACCACCTCTGCGGAGTGGGAGACATCTTTAAGGGAAGACACCAGATTTCAGGGCAGCCTCGTGGTGGGGCTTCAAGCAAGGCAGGACCACACGTGCTTCATTTTCCCCTTACAGTCTTGGGCTGCTGGTCAGGAAAGCCATGCTCTTGGCGGGAACCAGAACCAAGATGTGGGGCCGTCCAGAGCACTGGCACTCAAGCTGAGCACAAGCAGCCTGCCATTCTGTCAGCCTCAGTGGGGAGTGGAAAGGGGAAATTTGAACAAGTCACAGAGGTATGTAGCGGGGGAGGAAGGAGAGAGAACAGGAAGAAGAAGAAGAGAGACAGATGTACAACAGGGAAAAGGAGGAAAACAGAAGAGACACGTTGGGCTCTGTCTGGAGGGGCAGACAGGGGTGGGGACACCACCATCCTCAAAGCTGCCCCACACCTTTCAGTTTCTAACGGCCTCCTGCTTAGCTGCGGGGCCCTAGCCTTGTGTCTTGCGTCATCTCCTCAGGGCCAGATACACACAAGTCAGCAAAGTCCATGTAGTGACCACAGCCTGACTGACATAGCCCTGGTCCTCTCCTCTCTGGGCAGTTTTCAGTGACTATGGCCAATGGAGTTTTAAAGGATACATTTCTACTTTGCCCAGGATTTCTTTCTTAAATCTACTTTGAGGGGGACACACATTCACTCCATAACCAATGCACACCAGTATGGATTTGGACCTACACTGACATACACCCAAACTAGATCCTGGCTCTACCACTTAGTAACTGGGTAAGCCTTACCTTTTACCTCATCTGTAAAATGGGGATTGTCATAGCTCCAGCTTCTGAGAGCTGACAGATGAGATTGAGCTTATAAAGTCCCTCTGATGATGTCTAGCATGTAATAGGTGCTCCATAAACACCAGCTCATGACCTGCAACCATACTGGGATGAAGCCTGCAGGCCTCCAGATTTGTGGATCTCGGATGCCTGGGGCCGTGGAGTTCCTGTAAGAGGTTCACAGTTCATTAAAGTGCCAAGCACGGTGTGGAGTCTGAAGGAAAAGTATTTATTGCTGTACATGTATCTATAATCACATATAATTATGTATAAAGGTAGCTTGTTTTCATAGCATTTATGGCATTTACAAAACAGTTCCACTTAAAATGGCAGCCACAGGACTTCTCTTGGAGAAGGCAGTGGCACCCTACTCCAATACTCTTGCCTGGAAAACCCCATGGATGGAGGAGCCTGGTAGGCTGCAGTCCATGGGGTCGCTAAGTGTCAGACACGACTGAGCAACTTCACTTTCACTTTTCACTTTCAGGCACTGGAGAAGGAAATGGCAACCCACTCCAGTGTTCTTGCCTGGAGAATCCCAGGAACAGGAGAGCCTGGTGGGCTGCCGTCTAGGGGGTCGCACAGAGTCGGACATGACTGAAGCAACTTAGCAGCAGCAGAAGCGTAGGACTTCTCTTGTGGTCCAGTGGCTAAGACTCTGCCCTCCCAATGCAGGGGGCCTGGGTTCAATTTCTGATGGGAGAACTAGATCCCACATGCCACACCTAAGACCCAGCACAGCCGAATAAATAAATATTAAAAATAAATAAAATGGCAGCCTCACACTCATTGAAGCAGGCCAACAACTGAGAGCTTCACTCACACATATCCTCCTCTGAAGACAGAGGGGAAGATCATCTTTAGACGGATGGCACACAATTCATAATCACAACTGGGCATTGGTTCAGCTCACACTTACTCCCATGACTTAATTATGGCTGCGAAGAGATGGTCTATGATCCAGCACTCTAAGTCTGAGTCACCTGTGGTAGCAATTTCCCAAAGCCCAAATAACTAAGGACCAACAATTCAGTACAAGGCTAACAGTTTAGCTAATTCTACTGAATTATCTCAGGTCATCAGAGAACTACAGTTTCAAAACTTGATGTGTGATAGGTGTTTTTTTATGGGCTTCCCTGGTAGCTCAGATGGTAAAGAATCTGCCTGCAATGCAGGAGACCCCGGTGTGATTTCTGGGTCGGGAAGACCCCTTGGAGAAGGGATAGGCTCCCCACTCCAGGATTCCTGGGCTTCCCTGGCGGCTCAGACAGGAAAGAATCCGCCTGCAATGCGGGAGACCTGGGTTCAATCCCTGGGGTGGGAGGATCCCCTGGAGAAGGCAATGGCTACCCACTCCAGTATTCTGGCCTGGAGAAGTCCATGAACAGAGCTTGGCAGGCTACAGTCCATAATTCAACTGAACTATATCAGATAGTCACCAGAGAACTACAGTTTTCCAAAACTGATATGTAATTGGTGTTTTGTTATACTTTTTCTAAGGCCTTTGCAAGCTAACAATAAAAGCTAACTTTTTTTAAAGTACTTCCTAAGTCCATGGAGCTCATGTTTTTACTTACTAAAATCCTCATAATGACAATCATGGAAACATCATCGTGACCCACATTTTAGTTAAGTAAACTGAAGCTCAGAGAGGTGCAGAGCCCTGCCTAGGGCCACACAGCTAGGAAAGTGTAAAAGCCAAGACAAACTCAGGCAAGCATGCTTCAGACTCTGCTCCTTAGAACACTCTCCTAAAGGTAAACTTGAATGCCACCTACGTAATTGAAGCTTTGACTCCCAGTAAATATGCAAGCTGTTTCTTGGAAGACTCTAGTCCTGTCCCAAGATTCTCCTTTGAGCTGCCTAAGCAGGGCCCCTCTAATTTTCTCAACACACTAAATAGATCTGCTTGGCATATACTAATGGTAGAGGCTCAGTAACTATTTGCTGAGAAATCAAATAAATAAGTGGGTGGAATTTGTTCTTTAGACACTGAACTCTGTTGCCCAACTTTATCACAAACTTGATTCCAGGACTTCCCTGATGGTCTAATGGTTAAGAATCTGCCTGTCAATGCAGGGGACACAGGTTTGATACCTGGTCTGGTAAGATTCCACACGGCTGCAACTACTAAACCCGCATGCCTGGAGCTAGTGCTCCATAACAGAAGCTACTGCGATAAGAATCCCTTGAGCTGCAATAAATAACCCTTGCTCGCTGCAGCTAGAGAAAGCCTGTGCCCAGCAACAAAGACCCAGCACAGCCAAAAATAAATAATAAATAAAAATTTAAAAAAAACCAAAACTCTAATAAAAATAAATGGGAAAAAAAAAAAAAACAAACCAAAACTCTTAATTCTGACAATAGTATAAATGGGGGTTAATGGTACCTATTCCCTAGAGGATACTTACTATAATAGAATTAAATGACAGAGTACATTAAAATATTTTGCTCTAGACTCAAACATAGGAGCACTCAGTGAACAGAAATGTTTTGTTATTATTTTCATTAACAGAAAGGATGGAGAATAAGAGTGCTTGCCGTGCAATACTGTGAAATCTCTCCTTGGAGTCTGGCTGTGTTTTGGTTCCATCATGAAATTTTAGACACACACGAGGATTCATCAGTTAACAGGGAGGCAGGAGATACCATTTACACCTCGAACCACCCAGCATTTGAAACTGTCTGTCTTTCCTGAAGTCAGCAAGTTAAATGAGAAGCAGATGAGTGGCAACAGGTGTGCAAAGCATGAAGGATGCAAAGGATGCGGCATCATGAAAAAAGGCTGGAGTCTGGAGGAAGAAAGGGACTCAAGGACCACCAGGCATGCTTGGAAATCCTCACCCGTGGAGATGTAGTCAAGTCTGGAAAGTCTCCTGTTCAAGGTCGGCTCAGTTGTGGCTCAGGACACGGTGATGATTCACATACTTCTCTTGGGAAAAACACAGTGTTAGCGTCTGCTGGGCTGCCATAACAGAGTACCAGAGACAGGGGGCTTAATCAACAGACATTTATATTTCACAGTTCTGGAGGCGGGAAGTCCAAGATCAAGGTGCCGGCAGCTTTGGTTCCTGGTGAAGACTTTCTTCCTGGCTCATGGATGGTGCCTCCTCTGTGCCCTCACTTGGTGGGAAGAAACGGTGCTCTCTTCTTTAAGTATTCATTACCTCCTATAGACCCTGTCTCCATATACGGTCATGATAGGGCTTCAGTGTGAGTTCTGGGGGTCACAGTCCAGTCCATAACACACAGAACCCACAAACACCACCAGCCCCTGGAATGGAAAAAGTCCCCCCTCAGACTATCACCCACTCCGGGCCTGGGGTCACCTGCTCAAATACCCACAAGGGTCAGAGAGGAAGGTAAAAATGGGCTTTTGACACAGATACTAAACATTCTGGAATATTCTTGCTTTCCACAAAGACATATGTGCGCTCCCATTCTCCCATTTTTCTTTAAACATGTCCCTCTTGGGTTTTCTTCTGTATTACTGTGTGTGAGAGTGACCTGAGTGTGGAGATTTTCTCTCTATAAGAAACATAACAGTGCCAATGTGGCAGATGGAGCAGATACAAGGCCACTGGAAGCAGCGGGGGACACAGGCCCAACACTGCCTGCCAATTTGGTCACTTCCCAGAATCTAAATATTTGGATTTTTAGGTGAAAACTCCCAAGTTTAAATGCAGACTCAAAATGGGATTAAATCCTGTGTGAGATAAACCAAACCCACTAACACATTTCTGGGCTGTTTCTGGCACAAAGATGTATAGGTAGACTTCATTTTATTGCACTTTATTGTGCTTTGCATATATTACATTTTTTTAACAAATTGAAGGTTTGTGGAAACCCTGTATTGTCAGATGATGGTAGCGTTTTTTAGTAATATTTTTCTAAATTAAGATTTGTAGAGTTTTTAGACATACGCTACTGCATACTTAATAGACTACAGTATAATATAAACCTGACTTTTATATGCCCTGGAAAACCAAGAATTTATGTGACTCACTTTATGGTGATAGCCTCTTTTCACGGTGGTCTGGAACCAAACTGGCAGTATCTCCGAGGTATGCCTGTGTGTGTTAGTTGCTCAGTCATATCCAACTCTGCAACCCCATGGACTGTAGCCCGCCAGGCTCCTCTGTTCATGGAATTCTCCAGGCAAGAATATTGGAACGGGCAGCCATATTCCCTTCTTCAGGTGATCTTTCCGACCCAGAGACTGAACCTGTGTCTCCTACATTGCAGGCAGATTCCTTACCATCTGAGCTGCCAGTAAGTCTACACACAGAAAAAAAAAATGATGCAGCTGATGATACTGCTTTGAAGAAAAACACAACAGGGGGAGGGGAAAGAGCAATGCAGCTGCTCTTTTAGGTAGAAAATATTTAGACAAAGGACCATTCATTCACCTGGCATCCATTTCAGAAAGGGAAGCCAGCATCTCCTTGGCTTCAGTATTTTCTCCAAAGGCTTTCTTAAAAGGGCAGGAGCCAGAGCTAGGGAAGAGAAATAGAGGTAAAATGTCCAGCTTCCCTCCAAGAATCTGCTGTGGGCTGAAGCCAATCACAAAGAGGAGAGCCAGGCTGTGAGAGAGACAGACACACAGAGAGGAACAGCTAAGGAATGGAGCTTCTTAAGCCACTTCTAAGAAAAGAAATTATTGATGCCATTTTTTAGGGACCACTGCTGTTACCGAGTCCAAACTTGTACTGCTGGCTACACAACCGGCCAATAAACTGAGGTGAGTTGTTGGTGCAAGAACAGCAACTTGATTCAAAAAGTCGGCAGACTGAGAAGATGGCAGACTTGTGTCCCAAACAACCATCTTGCCTAAGTTAGCATTCAGGCTTCTTTTATACTAAAAGGGGAGGGTGTAAAATCAAACATTTTCTGGTTCTGGTCAGCCTCCAGAGAGGCTGTGTTAATTTCTTGCCGTCATTCACACGTGGGTCTGGTAAGGATATTTCTAGTGAGCTCAACAAAGGTGCTTCTGTGCTGAGTCACTCAGTCATGTCCAACTCTCTGTGACCCCATGGACTGTAGCCAACCAGGCTCCTCTGTCCATGGGGTTTTTCCAGCAAGAATACTAGAGTGGGTTGCCATTTCCTCCTCCAGGGGATCTCCCGGACTCAGGGATTGAACCAGCCTCTCCTGCATCTCCTGCATTGACACAGGGATTCTTTTACCACTGAGTTGCCTGAGAAGCCCTAAACAAAGGTATTTGAGCTTAATGATCATTACTTGGAAGGCGGCATTCCCAGAGATGGGCCATTATAGATAATTTAAGCTTATAGGCAACATCCCTTTAGTAATTAACCTGCAACAGACTACAAAGGTTCTTCCCTATTACACTGCCATGGAGAGAGAGATCAAGTTCAACTCCTAATACAACAAGGAAAGGTGGGAACTTACAGCCAAGGTGCAGGCCTGGGGACTGAGGTGGGAGGGTGGCAGTGGATGGAAAATTGGTAAAAGGAAACGTAAGGGGTAAGAAGGGTTTCTTGCTGAAGGAAGGTTATGGTGACGAGACATCACCTGGAGGATGCTGAAGGATGAGGAACCCAATTCCGTTGGGGGAGGCGGGTGGTTCTGGCTAAAATGGCCACAAGCAAACAATGCAGAAATAAACAGGGAAGCCCAGAAATCAGGGCCTAGCTGAGAAGAGAGTTCAGAGGAGTCCAAGTAGAGTCTGGTCAAGAAGAGGCCCTTTGCCACCTGGTCTAGGGTAATCCGCCTCCCTGTCCCTGACAGAGAAGGCTGCTTTGGAGAAAAAAAGTGACCTTTGGAGAAAAGTGGCCTCTGGAGACTCTCCTTTCCAAAGGCCGAAGTTGTTCATGCTAAGCCTCTGAAAGAGATGCCAAGTGCCTTTGCCTACCCTCTGCCGGGGAGACAACAGCCTCCAGAGTCAAGACCCACCCTCCTCAAGACCCCAACAACTTCCAACCCCAATTCCTTGTCCCGCCTGCTGCTTCTCCCTGATACAAGAATAATAATGGCCACCAATTTCTGGGCGCCGGGCAATACCCATTCCCACTGTGTTCCTAAGTTACTAATGCCAAAGGTGCTGTATCTCTATTTTACATGTTAAAAAATAAAAATAATAATAACCCTGAAACTCCACGAGTTTTAGGTATAGAGCCCAGGGAGGATAATATGGTTGTGAAGTGATAGCAATGAGACTAGAACACAAATTTTTGATTCCAGAACTCTAGTTCCCAAGTCCCGGGCTAATCCACTGTAGCCCGAAATAACAACGCTGACAACCTGAGGCCTGACTCAGCCACCCTTGACTCTGACTGAACTCGCTCTGAGGCGCGGCCTGGATCTCACCAGCAAGAGAGGCCAGCAAGAGGAGGCACTCCGGGTGCCTAACGGCACTGGAGTTAGGCACTTCTGCCCTAACGGCTGCGACCGTGCGGAACTCACCTCCGCGCCCGGGAAGGAGCCGCAGCGCACGACTAAGGGTGACAGGACCTCGCTACACAGCGAACGCCAGCGCGCCCGGTGCAGCAACTCAGACGCAAACCGGATCCACAATCGCAGTCTCGCGCGTCCTTCCCAAAGCCTCACAAGAGGCTGGTGCCCGCGGGAAGCAGAAGTCGCGGACGCCGGAAACGGGGAGACAGCTAGACTACATTTCCCAGAATGCGCCGCGCGGCGCCGTTCAGGCAGATGCCGAGAGGCCTACCTGCGGCAGAGCGAGGGGTCGTGTTGCTTTAAGGGTCTTTCCTGGAGGTGACCCGGTGAGGGGCGGGCGAGAAGGGGCATCAGCCTCTGGGCGCCACGTCGTCATTGCCGGTTCCTTGCGTGCTCCTCTTCTCCGTTTCCACATCTGTGAATGGGGACATTAATTCGTTCAAAACCCTTTCATCCATTCATACATATTTTTTTTCTCTTTTTAAAATTTTATTATTCATACATATATTTTTTAAAGCCGCCAATTGAGCGATCCCATCCGCCAGCTCTGCTAGGCGCTGGGGTTTCGGCGATGATGAGCAAGTGCTTTCTTTCATAGAACTTACATTCTACCAAGAAAAAGGTATACACTGGACAAATAATTGCACAAATAATTGTTTAGTCACCTCTTTGGTAGATGATGCCAAAGCAGTAGAGGAGAGGGGACCTGACCCTCTTAGGGTGAATGTGTCAGAGGGAAGGTAGTTTAGAGTTAGCCTGGGGGTTTGTGGGGGGAAGGGTTCACACAGAAGGAACCGCAAGTGTGAAGATCCTGAGGCCCGAGAGATCAGGGTGCATTTGCAGGACAGAAAGGAGACCAGTGTGGTCCCGGTGCAGGGAGACAAGACTGGAGAGGTGGGACCAAGCAGGGGTCTCTGGAAGGCTCCCAGGAGGATTGAATGTTATATCCCTAGAGCCAGGAGAAAGGAGTAGTTTGGGCTTTTAAGCAGGATAGTGGCCTGGTAGGAGAGGAAGCTTGGTGGAATACAGATGTCGGGGAGTCCATAGGGGCGCAGTGAGACTGGCTGGAAGCTCCTGGGGTGTGAAAGTGAAAGTGTTAATCACTCTGTTCTGTCCAGCTCTTTTGGACCCCCATGAACTGTAGCCCACCAGGCTCCTCTGTCCATGGGATTTTCCAGGCAAGAATACTGAATGGGTAGCCATTCCCTTCTCCAGGGGATCTTCCCGACCCAGGGATCGAACCCAGGGATCTAACCCAGGTCTCCAGCGTTGGAGACAGATTCTTTACCATCTGAACTAAGAGGGAAGCCCTGAGGGCTGAAGTTGAAGTAATACTGGAGATGGTGCTAGTCACTCAGGGAGGGGTCTGATCCAGGTTCCTGAAGCAGAGTCCACAGCGCCCTGGGAGTGACTGGGCTGGGGTGAAGGAGGGAGAAGACAAGAATAACGCATTAGTAAAATGAAGACAGTAACACCTGGGGTAGGTAACCTCGTGATTTAAATGTGCAGTGAAATGACTGATACATAATAAAGGCTTGTGCTAAATCACTTCAGTCATGTCTGATTCTGTGCCACCCTGTGGACTGTAGCCCACCAGGCTCCTCTGTCCCTGGGATTCTCCAGGCAAGAGTACTGGAGTGGGTTGCCATGCCCTCCTCCAGGGGATCTTCCCAACCCAAGCATTGAACCCGCATCTTTTATGTCTCTTCCACTGTAAGTGGAGTCTTTACCAGTGAACCACTGGGGGAAGCCCAATAAAGGCTTAATATATGCTTAATACATGCTAATTTTTAAAGTAATAAAGACTGCTTCTGTGTTTAGAGCAATGTTTGTAATGATAAAAGCCTAAAAACAATCTCAGTGTTGATCAACAGAATGATGGATGGATAAATCTCACAGAGATTATGTTGAGCTAAAAAGCAAGTGACAGAATGAAATCATTTCCATGAATTATAAGAACACACAGAATGAAAAAAAAAAAGAACACACAGAACGATGCTGTGTATGATTTAGGAATATATACATGTGTGGTATCACTAAATGTATATGGGCCATGACCTAGTGACTGAACAACAACAGCATAGATGGTAGAGGGTAAAGAAAGGTGGAATTTGGGTAAACACCTAATTCAAGATGATGGTTATCCCTGGTGACAGGGGCACGGGCTGGAGAGAAATGTGATGGGGGAAGAGTGCAGATGGCATAAAATGCAAGTTTTTGTTTGTCTGGTTTTTTTTATTTTGGCTGTGCCGAGCAAGCGACTTGTGGGATCTCAGTTCCCCGACCACAGATTGAACCCACCCGACCATGGATTGAACCCGGGCTGTGGCAGTGAAGTGCTGAATCCTAACCACTAGGCCACCAGGGAAGCCCATATATGTGTACATGTATCCCCTCTTTTTTGGATTTCCTTCCCATTTAGGTCACCACAGAGCACTGAGTTGACTTCCCTGAGCCCTCCAGTAGGTTCTCATTAGTTAGTCTATTTTATACGTAGTATCAATAGTGTATATATATATGTCAATCCCAATCTCCCAGTTCATCCCTCCCACCCCACTTTCCCCCTTGGTAACCATATACTTGGTGTCTACCTCTCTGTCTCTTTCTGCTTTGCAACTAACTTCATCTGTGATTCCCTGTTTTTAAAAAGGCCCACTATTGTTAGTTATTGGGTTTCCCTGGTGGCTCAGTGGTTTAAAAAAATGTGCCTGCCAGTGCAGGAGACAGGAGTTTGATCCCTGGGTTGGGAAGATCCTCTGGAGAAGGAAATGGCAATTAGCTCCAGTATTCTAGCCTGGGAAATCCTATGGACAGAGAAGCCTAGTGGGCTATAGTCCGTGTGGTTGCAAAAGAGTTGGATGTGACTTAGGGACTAAACAACAGCAGCATTGTTAGTTGATACGATGACTTTATCATTATGACATGAACCTGATTAGCATGCAGCACAATGGGAACCCCCCCATACCTATAAAATGGAACAAAATATTCAGATAAATGATCCCTTATGGGACCTAGGCATCTGTGAGCAGGCTTGCCTTCACACACCCTGGGAGAGTAGGTTGGGGGTACTGTCCCTGTTTTCTGCAGGAGGAAGTGGAATCTAGGAAGTCAGGTGACTTGCTAAAGTCCTAAAGTCCTTCAGCTAAAAAGGGGCAGAGCTGGACGTGTCATCCATGCTTGCTGGACCTGGGGAATCCCGAAATGTGTCAGCTGAAGCCCCACTCCCACCCCGCCCTCACCCAGCTGATACAGGTCAGGAAATGCAGAAGAAATCTGTGTACAGTCATTACTGTTACTGGGTCCACAACTGAGTCTATGCCAGGCATGCACTGTAGCATCTCTGTGGGCATGGCAAGAGCTTCCAGAACTGGAGGGAAAGTCGTCAGCAGAGAACAGGACCACTGTCCCTGTGAAATGGAGCTGGACCCTATGGTCCTTACCCTCCATGTCCTCTGCCTGCCTTCTGTCCATGGAAAACTAGTCAAAAAACAAATTTAATCAGAGAAATGAGAAATGCAGAAACATAGGAAAATGGTCAAAGGAGACCAAATAATAATGATGTATTCATTAAGCATAGTCAAGGAGAACCTTTAGTTCTTTCTCAAGGGCTATAGATAATATTCTGAGCCACATCCTGTGAGCTGTCTTACAGATACTGAAACACCAAGTGGAGAAGTTAACTACTTGATAACCGGACTGCACCCACCACAGAAGCTGCCACAATTCTGAAAATTGGCCTCAAAGAAATGGGGACAAATGGACCCTGTGCATCCTGTGGGCACAGCCTCTTCCCTGGACTGGTGGTCTGTGCTATCCTGTCGCCTCTGAGAACTGTTTTTCCTCGGTGGCAGCCACATTCCGAGTCACTTCATTTTATCTGCACAGCACCTCTGTAGTGTGGGGATAGTGTCATCCCCATTTTGTAGATGAGGAAACTGAGGCCCACCAGAGGAAGCAACTTGCTCCAAGTCACATCTTATGACGCCTGTGCGGGAGGGAGGCATTGTGACCAAGGACAGAGCCTGATCTGGACCTTGACCCTGGTTCTGGGCAGAAGAGTGGGCTGGTTGTCCAAGACAGGGCCTCCCAGCTCTTCAAGACTCCTGAGGGCCTGGGGTCTCACACTGTTACTTTAGGAAGAACCATACTTTTATTGGAGGGTAGCTCAAAGAAGTCATTTACAAAATGCTTTTTGTTTTCAAAGCACAGCTTTTCATAAAAAACAATGTCTACCTTTAATACATGCTTGAGTACACAGCTGCATGTTGGGGGGCTGCCCAGCACCCATTTAGAAGTCCTCGTCTGAGTTGTCCTCGGCCCACCGGCACACCTTCGCGGGCCCGGGGCTGGCCCGGGTGCCCGTGGGGGCCGGGCCGGGGGCGGGGGACGGGGCAGGGGCCAGGTCCACCCAGCCGGGCCCCCGGGGCAGCGCGTGGCTTTCTTTCAGTCTGATGATGCGGTAGTTCTCGTAGTGGACGTTGTGGGTGATGTCCTTCAGGTCTTGGAGGTGGGAGCTGGGAGATGGGCAGCCGGTCAGCGGGGCGGCCGTGGGCGTCCCCCGGGGTCCCCACGGCCTCCCAGGTTCCCCACTGGCTCACCGGATGAGCAGGTCTCTCAGGAGGGGGAACTCACAGTGGGCCATGTTCTCCACTGTAAGACACGGCGCCAAACCCTGAGTGTGGGCTCTGCCCTTGGCCAGCACTGAGTAAGCGCCTGCTGTATGCTGCACTCCCCCACCCCCCACCACTGCCTGCCCCTCCCCACATTTCTGCCATTCATTCATTCATTGCTGTGTCCCCAGTCCTTGGTACAGGTGGCTCCTGTAAACGGCTGTTGAGTCGCAGGACTTCCCTCTGCTCCTTCAGGGCCCCCCCCACCCCACACGTTTCCTTCTCGTGCGTCCCCACCTGTCCTTGTCTGGCCACCTCTGTGGGCACGAGGACCCTGTTGGGCCTCATTGTATCCCTTTGGGAGCTGCACACACTGTGCCCGGCACATAGTAGGCCCACAATAAATTCTGGTGAATGAATAGGGTGCCTGCTGGGTGCCAGGTTTCAGTGCAAAGTGGTGGTTCTGCCCCCTCCACCCACCCTATGAGGCTGATGACTTCATGATAGCCGTTTGTGAGGAAACTGAAGGAGCTGGGTAATTTGCTTGGGGCCACCCAGAAGCACAAAGGAACTTGACCCCAGGTCTGACTGTTTTCTGGCTCTGGGCTTAAACCCCCACCAGACTCTCTGGTGGGTGTGAGGATGGCAAGGGCAAGAGGCTGAGCCTCGCTTTGCAATCTGTTCTCCCCTGAGCCCTCCCTAGGGTCCCTGAACTGACCTTCGATGATGCCCCACTTCGTCTTCCGGCCCAGGACACACCGCCCGTTCACCATGTGCTCTCGGTCAGCCCCGACCACAGCGAAGGGGATCCGCTCCTGCAGGGAGGAGACAAGACAGGAGGGTTGACCTCACTGGGGACGTGGAGAGAGAGGTATGAACCCTCAGGTTGCTGCCCTTTGTGGGGACAGAAAGTGGCCGGAGGAGCACAGATGTCTGAAGTCGGAGGGCACAGAGCCTGATCGGTGCTTTGGTTTCCTCATCTGCAAAATGGGAGACATGATAGTACTGATTCAGGGCTCTGAATATTTGGGAAGGGCTTAGCAGTTTGAAGGGCTTAGCAGAGCAAGTCTTGGAAACCAAGTGTTACTCAGAGCTACGTTAGTGATGTCAATTCCGTTCATGTCCTATCTCTTACCTGAAAGCAATCACCTTTAACCATTATTATAAGGTTAAAAGAGACAATTTTGGACTATAATTTGAGGATACATACACCCCTGTGTTCATGGCAGCACTGTTTACAATAGCCAAGACATGGAAACAGCCTAACACCCTGTGACAGATGAATGGATAAAGATGATGTGGGGTGTGTACACACACACACTCACACACGCACAATGGAATATTACTCAGGCGTAAAAAGAATGAAGCGATGCCATATCATACTAAATGAAGTAAGTCGGAAAGAGAAAGACAAATACCACGTGATATCACTTATAGGTGGAATCCAAACTGTGACACAAATGAACCTACCTGGGGAACAGAAATAGACTCACAGACACAGAACACAGGGTTGTGGTTACCAAGGGGAAGGAGGGTGCATCGGGAGTTTGAATTAGCAGATGCAGACTGTTATATATAGAAAGGACAAAAATGAGGTCCTACTCTATACCACAGGGAACTGTATTCAATATCCCGTAACCGTAACGGAAAATTATATATGTAACTGAATCATTTTACTGTAAACCAGAAATTAACACAACCCTGTAAATCAACGATACTTCAATAGAGGAAATTTGAAAGAGAGAGAGAACTTTGTAAACCAGGGGCTGGCAACCTATGGCTCCTGGACCAAAGCAGTCAAATTCATGGGCATACAACCCAGGCCATTCATTTACTCTTGTCTATGCTGCTTTCATACTACTTTGGGAGGCCGAGTAATCGCAGCAAAGTCTAAAATACCATTGTCTGGCCCTTCACCAAAAAAAAAAAAAGTTTGCTAAGCCCTTTTGTAAACTTTAGTTTCTTACTTGTTCATGACTAGAAAGTACAAGTGAAAGTCACTCAGTCATATCCGACTCTTTGCAATCCCCTGGACTATACAGTCCATGGAATTCTCCAGGCCAGAATACTGGAGTGGGTAGCCTTTCCCTTCTCCAGAGGATCTTCCCAACCCAGGGATCAAACTCAGGTCTCCCGCATTGTTGGTGGATTCTTAACCACCTGAGCCACAAGGGAAGCCCAAGAATACTGAGTGGGTAGCCTATCCCTTCTCCAGCGGATCTTCCCAATCCAGGAATTGAACCGGGGTCTCCTGCATTGCAGGTAGATTCTTTACCAACTGAGCTTCTAGGGAAGCCCATTCATGGCTGCAAGTGGAGATTGGGCTCTCAGAGAGTGCAGCATGGGGATTTGTTTTTATTTCTAAGAATTAGGCTGTGATGGGGAATAAATTGATGCTAATAATGATAACTATGTGTTGGGGACTTCCCTGGTGGTCCAGAGGCTGAGACTCCGAGCTCTCAATGCAGGGGGCCGGATTTGGTGCCTGTCTGGGGAATTAGATCCCACATGCCACAACTAGGAGTTCCTGTGAGGAAACTAAGACCCGGAGCAGCCATGTAAAAATAAATAAGTATTTAAAAAATAGCTATCTGTTGCACAATTATTATGCACCAGCCAGTATTCGACCCTTGACAGATGTTATATGTCTGGATGATTTATTGAGAGGTTAATTTGATTTATTGAGAGGTTAATTTGCTTTCCTTTATTCCCCCAGCTCTAATCCAGTTGTGACCAGACTGCTGTCTTTGCTGGCCTTGGGACAGAAAGCAGAAGGTCAAAGCTCTTTGAATCTTTCACAGGAAATACTGTTCATTGCTCCAGTGGAGAGCAGAAAGAGAAACTGTGTGGAGAAATTGGGGGCCAGACAGGAAGCAAGGTTTCCATGTACAGATGTGCATGGCAAGCCACAAGGGTGTGTAGGGCTGAATCCCATGCATGTTCCTGTCTGTGGAGGATGCTACTGCCTTTTTCTAATGCAAGCAAAAGTGCTGTGTAGGTTAGCAGGGTCCCTCAGGGAGGGGGTGGACGCCAGGTGTCTATAGACGAAGAATCCCAGGCTTCACCCAGGTGCTTTTCAGGAACAAGACAGACTGACATTGAATGTACCACAAGGACAGGGAGACTGGGGCTTGGACGTGGAATTCAGTTGCTTCAGGGAAAAAGAAGATATGAGTCATTTCCTTCCTTCCTTCCATCCCTTTCTTTCTTTCTCTCTCTCTCTTTCTTTCTACAACTTTATTGAGATATAATTTGCACACTATAACATTCTTCCCTTTAGAGGTTCAGTTCAGTATACTTACAAGATTGTGCAACCGTCACCACAATCTAACTCTAAGGCTCTTTCATCACTCCAAATGAAAGCCTGAACCCTTTAGCAGTCACTCTCCATCTCCCCCTAAACCTCCCAGCCCCTGGCAACCACAGATCTATTTTCTATCTCTGTAGATTCGCCCATTCTGGACATTTCATGTAACAGAATCATATAACACATGGCATTTGTGTCTGACTTCTTTCATTTAACATCATGTTTTCAAGGTTTATCCACATTGTAGGCACTATCAGAACTTTATTCCGTCTGATGGCTAAGGAATATTCCCTTGTATGGATAGACCACATTTGTCTATCCATTCACAAGTTAATGGACATTTAGATTGTTTCCACTTTTTGGCTATTACAGATCATTCTAAATGTTCTGTTATATGAACATTCGTGTATGAGTTTTTATAGCAAAATAGGTTTTCATTTATTTTTTTTTTCTTTTTGGTCTTAAAATGCCATAAGGTTTCCATTTCTTTTGAGAGTGGAATTGTTGGGCCATATCGTAACAGTGTTTAACCTTTGAAGAACTGCTAGACTTTTCCGAAGTGGTTGCACCAATTTGACATTCCCACAAGCAGTGTGTGAAAGTTCTGGTTTCTGCACACCCTCACTAACACTTGTCATTGTCTTTTTCTTTTGCCATGCCTTGTGGGATCTTAGTTCCCTGACCAGGGATTGAACCCACGTCCCCTGCATCAGAAGCATGAGTCTTAACCAGTGGACGGTGAGGGAAGTCTCGTCCATTTTGGCTTCTCTTATGGCGACAGGCTCTAGGGCGAGCTGGCTTCAGTAGCTGTGGCTCCCAGGCTCTAGAGTGCAGACTCAGTAGCTGTGGCCCATGGGCTTAGTTGCTCCGTGGTATGTGGGATCTTCCCAGACCAGAGATTGAACCCGAGTCTCCTGCATTGGTAGGCAGATGCTTTACCCCTGAGCCACCAGGGAAGCTCCTTGTCCATTTTTAAATTGAGCTATTTGTCTTTTATTGTTGACTTGTAAGAGTTCTTGTTTTTTTTTTAGTAATTTATTTTTGTCTGCACTGGGTCTTTGTTGCTTTGTGCCAGCTTTCTCTAGTTGGGGCGAGCAGGGGCTGTGGTGCACGGGCTTCTGATTGCTGTGGCTTCTCTTTTTGCAGAGCACAGGCTCTAGGACATGCAGGCTTCAGTACTTGCGGCTCATGGGTTCAACATCTGTGACTCATGGGCTCAATATCTGTGACTCACGGGCTCTAGAGAGTGGGCCCAGTAGTTCTGGTGCACGGGCTTAGTTGCCCCAGGGGTGGGGTGGGGCATGTGGAATCTTCCCAGGCCAGGGATCGAACCCACGTCCCCTGCATTGCAAGGCAGATTCTCAACCACTGAACCACCAGGGAAGTCCCACCTGTCTTTTAGTGTTGATCTGTAACAGTTCTTTTTCTATTCAAGATACAAGTCCCTTATCAAATATATCATTTGAGAACATTTTCTTCCATTCTGGGTGTTTTTGATGTGGCCAATTTCTTGCTCACCTTGTTTGTGAGCAGAGATTTTTGTCTGCCAGAAATATATGAACTTTCCCCAAGTTGCAGAGAGACAAATCTTCAGATGGAAAGAATGAATGGACAGCACATCACCCAGACTCAGTCCCACTAGCCTCCCCACCTCAGACGGCCTCCTACCCGGATCTTGCTGTTGAGGATCTTGTCATTGACGTCCTCGTCAAAGCACTTCTGAGGGTACACCTCGATGCTGTGAGTCTTCAGGTCATCCTGGATCTGTGGACCACACACGGGTGACCTCAGCCCACTCTAAGGTGAACTTTGCCCCCTCCACACCCCCACTGACCCCAGACTCGTCCCAGGCGCCCAGATCACCCTGTGCCTGAAGGCCTCTCGCTCCTCAATGGTCAGGCTGTCGGCCCGGGCTATCACGGGCACCACGTTCACAGCCCGGCAGAGCCGCTGCAGGAACTCAAGATCCAGGGGCCTCAGGCTGCTCAGGTGGGGCAGCGATGGTGGTGAGGGCATGATGAGCGGGTGCCAGCCCACAGCCCTCCTCCGCCCGCCGGCTCAGCCACCTCACCAGTGCCCGGTGGGCGGCACAAAGTATATGCAGCAGTGCACTCGCGTGTCGGGGATGTGTCGTTGGCGGGTGATGAGGATCTCCTCTTGCAGGTACCGCTCGTACTGCTCGTTGATGTAGCCCAGGATGGGGTCCCAGCTGGGGCGGGAGATGGCCCAGCCTCAGAAACTTGCCGGGAGTCCCCGCCATCACCACCTCCCCAGGTCCTCTGGGTGTTCTGCCCTTACAGGGCGTCTCTGTACCGATGTGCAGTTTGTGCACTGCACAAAGGCAACCTGCCATGAGGCTGTGTAGGGATGAATCCCATGCAGGCTCCTATCTGTGAAGGATGCTACTGCCTTTTTCTAGTTCAAGCAAAAGAGCTGTGTAGGTTAGCGGGGTCCCTTGGGGAAGGGGTGGAGGCCAGGTGTCTATGGATGAAGCATTCCAGGCCTCACCCAGGTGCTTGTGTGAGTGTGTTTCATCTCCTTGAGATCCTAAAACAACTCTGGATGGGGGATGTCGTCACCCTCAAGTTACAAAAAAGGAAGCTGAGGCTCAAAGAGCATCTGCAGCCAGGCCCAGGTTGTACACCCAGCAAGTAGTTTAACCCAGGGGTCCTGACTCTGGAGTGAGGGCTTCTATTGCCTTGCCATATTGTAGCCTTCATCAGTGAGCTAAGAGCAAGCTAAGACCTTTACGTACTTGACTCCCGATGATCTTGGGAGGAGGGCTGCACGCACCCATTGTACAGGTGAATAAACTGAGTCTCAAAGATGCCACATCCAGGTGGCTCCAGGCCTGATGTTTCCGAGAGACTGGAGGGCGGGGGGCTGGGGCAGCCAGGGCTTGGCCCTCCCTGCACCCTCTGAGGACTCACCACTTGTCGTTGTTGATTTGGTCCCCAAAGCCCGGTGTGTCGGTCACGGTCAGCTTAAGCTTCACGCCATTCTCCTCGATGACTGTGGGGAAGAGCGGGAGGCAGAGCGTGGGCCTGGGGGGGTGAGGGGGGTGGGGTGACGGGGGGCTCGCTCACCGTGAGTCATGGAATGCAGCTGCAGCGTCTGGGGCATGGGCACCCTCAGACCCGGCATCGTGGACTTCCATATCTTGGACTTGAAGAGCGTGTTCACCATGGTGGACTTGCCCAGCCCGCTCTGTCCTGCGAATAACCACAGGGCAGCAACAAAGTAGAAGGGCTAGGCATGTTTCCGAAACTCTCAAATAAACTCTTTCAGAAAGTCAACCATTTTTTAAGTATAACAGAAACACAGAAAAGCATGTATGATCATAAGTCTCCAGCTCAGTGCCTTCCCCATTTTTTATTGAGGCAGAAATAAAATAAAAAATTATTTATTCTTAAATAAAATATAAAATTATGTAAAATATGAATAAAAAATTATTTTACTCATATAATAAAAATTAACATTAACCACTGAAAGTGTACAGCTCAGGGGTATTGAGTGCATTCACAGTGCCGTGCAAACACCATCCCTCTCTAGTGCCAAAACATTTTCATCAACCCAACAAAAAACTCTACATCCATTAGGCACACACTCCCCAGTCACTAATCTGCTTTCCATCTATGGACTTGTTTAATGTGTACATACTTCTTTTTTTCAACCTTTTTCTTCTGGCCATGCTGTGCAGCTTGTGGGATCTTATTTCCCCAACCAGGGCTCGAACCCAGGCCCTCGTTACTGAAACCGCTGAGTCCTAACCACAGGCCCTCCAGGGAATTCCCTGGATGCTTCATATAAATGGGATCATGCAATACTTTTCCCTTTGTATCTGGTTGCTCCCACTCAGCATAATGCTGTCAGGCTCATTCACACTGTAGCATGTACCATGACTTTCATACTTTTTCATGGCTGAATAATACTCCACTGGATGGATAGTCCACACTGTGTTTATCCATTCATCTGAGGATGGGCAGGTCAATGCCTTTTTACAAATGAAACAACTGATAGATGCAGCACCAGGTGAAGAGACAGAACACATGATTCCACCCAAGACCACTCAGATCACATCTCTGTTAACAGTCCCAGGGACAGCCACTCTCCTGACTTGCACCAGCAAGGAGCAGCTCTGCCCACCCACCCTCTACTTGGGAATCACACAGCACATGCTCTCTTTCATCTCTGGCTTCTTTTGGTGAGATTCCCTCATGCTGAATATTCCCTGACTCTTCATTGGAAGGACTGATGCTGAAGCTCCAATACTTTGGCCGCCTGATGCAAACAGCCGACTTGTTGGAAAAGACCCTGATGCTGGGAAAGATTGAGGGCAGGAGGAGAAGGGAGTGACAGAGGATGACATGGCTGGATGGCATCACTGGCTCAATGGACATGAGTGTGAGCAAACTCCGGGAGGTAGTGAGGGACAGGGAAGCCAGGTGTCCTGCAGTCCGTGGGGTCGCAAAGAGTCAAACATGACTGAGTGACTGAAAAACGACAATCGCCAAGCTGTCTGTACTTGTAGATGGTTCATTCTCCCTGCTGTGCTGGCTTCTCAATTCCATGGACCTTGTCCCGCAGTAGGAAACATCCTACGTCACAGGGCAGGATGCACCTTTGTGTCTATAGCTGAAATTGTCCTTTGGGCTTCGATATTCAGAGTGGGAGCGACCCTTGGCTATTGTTATCGGCAATATGGTCATGCGCCAATCTGTACCAAGATGCACTGTCAGTGTAAAGGAATAAACCGTATTTTGCTTGATATGATAACAAGAACACAGTCTCGTGGATAATGTTTTCTATGTATTATATGTCAAGATGATAGTATTTTTGGAATGTATTGGGTTAAGTAAAAAAGATGATTAAAAGTAATCTCTCCCGTTTCTCTTTATTTTTTTAAAGGAAGTTACCAGAAAATTTAAAATTATGGATGTGACTCCCTTGACATTTCTATTGGGTGCACCCTCCTTAGAATAATACCCTTAGTTTGTGCTATACATCTAACATTTTTATGTTTCATTGCATCCAGTTTATTTTGTGAGAAGTGTAGTCTTATTTTTTTAACTGATGTATTTTTAAAAAAATATTGATTTACTTTTTTGGCTGCACTGTGTGGCAATCAGGATCTTAGTGCCCCAACCAGGAATGGAATGTGGGCCCCTTGCATTGGGAGCTTGGAGTCTTAACCACTGGATCAGCAGGGAAGCAGAGAAGTGTAGCTTTTGACCTATCACATTAATTTTGCATGTATAAAAATGCAATTCCAGGTCAGCTGACCCCAGCTGGGCACTATGCTAAACCCCATGAGGAAACTGAGGCAGCGAGGGGTCAGGGGCCCAGGTCACACACTCGTGAGCATTAAATCCTGGGACCAGTATCTAAGTCTGGGTGTCCCCACTTCCTGCCACACACGGCCTCCCCTTTTCATGTTCTGATTGGGTTTAGTTGGGGCTTCTTGGGTGATTTTTGTCTTTTCATGACTCAGCATTTCCCCTTTGAGGTACAATTGTCAGGACCACTTTACAAATGGGGAGACTGAGGCTCTGAGAGGTGACACATCCAGGCCCACAGGGTGCTGTCCGTGGCTCAGTCCTCCTGTAAGCCCCGACCCCTCACTCACCCACCACCATGATGTTGAACTCGAACCCCATCTTCATGGCCTTGATCTTGAGTTGGTCCAGCACAGCTTCGATGCCCACGTAACCAAGCCTCTCGCACGAGAGGGTCCTCGGGCTGGAGGCCTCTGATGAACTGGGCGAGGGGGACTGCCTCAAGGGGTCCATGGGGCCAAGGAACAATGATGCCTGTCGTCTGGGTCGGGGTGGGGAGAAGCGGGTCGCTGGGGCTCCAGAGGGGGACCATCTGAATTCTCATCTCTGAACCCTGACTCCTGAGACCTGCCCCCAGACATTCCCATGCTTCACATCTCCTGACCTATGTACCCTGCTAAGTCCCCATGGCCCATGGAGCTTGGCAAAGGGTGCCTGGGGGCATGGCCTCTCAGGGGAGACTGAACCCCTTTTCTGAGATGCGCCAGCCCCAGGAATCTGTCCCTCCCCTACCCTCAGCCCAGCCAGGCTCCCGCAGCTGTGTGGCCAGCCTGGCAAAAGCCAGGGGCCGGACCCGCGGGGGGGACACAGAGGGAGACAGGCAGCTTCGTGGGCACCTGGTGGCCTTGGGTCCCTGTGGGAGCCTTGGGGGACTGCCCTGTCCTGGCAGACCCTGGTGTGTGTGGTGAGGGGGAGGGGACAGGTGACAGTTAACTGAAGAATCTGAGCTCCACCTGCTTCCCATGACCCCCCCAACCCCGGGGGCTCCGCTGCAGCAGGGGGCTGGGGACAGGGACAGGTAAGTCACACCTCTGGGCCCTTTCGGGTCAGTACCCTGTAACCCTCACAATGACACCAGCCTGGTTCTATAGACAGGAAGCCAGGGCCCCGGGGCAACTCCGTTGCTGAAGGTCACTGGTAAGAGGCACAGTGGGACTGCCGCTGGTTCCTCTGGCTTCCAAGATCATGCCCTTAAACCACTCTGTCAGGGAAGGAAAACTGTGACCAAAAAAGACAGTGGAAAGCACACCTATGTGTGTGTTTTCTTTGGCCTGTCCATTGCCAGTGTCATTCTGTCAACACGCTCTGTGTTGGGTCTGTGTTAACAACTGTTCTAGGAGCCTTAGGATGTTAACCTGTCAACGGTCTTCATGGGAGTAAGTGTTATTACTAGCCCTGTGTGTGTTAAGTCGCTTCATTTGTGTCTGACTTGGTGACCCTGTGGCCCATCGCTCCTCTCTCTGTCCATGGGATTCTCCAGGCAAGAACACTGGAGTGGGCTGCCTTGCCCTCCTCCAGGGGGTCTTTCTGAGCCAGGGATGGAACGTGCTCCTTTCTTATGTCTCCTGCATTGGCAGGCAGCCAGGTTCTTTACCACTAGTGCCACCTGGGAAACCCCAGCTTACATAAGGGTCCAGAGAGTGGTTCAAGGTCACACAGTGAGGAAGTGGCAGAACTGGGAGCTGTGTCCACATGCTCACCACTATAGTCTCTTTTCTTGTTCACATCAGTGTCTCGATTTCTGGTATATCTCACTGACCGACGGACCGATACATCACCAACTCAACGGACATGAGTTTGAGCAAGCTCTGGGAGATGAAGGACAGGGAAGCCTGATGTGCTGCAGTCCATGGAGTCACAAAGATTCGGATACAACTTAGTGACTGAACAGCAAAGCGATTTATAATCCCTGGCAACTCTGGGTCCAGCCTAGAGCTGACTCAAGCTGCCCTCTTTATTAATTTTTTATTTATTTATTTTTTGGCCATGCTGCATGGCTTGCAGGACCTTAGTTCCCTGACCGGGGATTGAACCCAGGTCCTGGCAATGAAAGTGCTGAGTCCTAACCACTGGACCTCCAGGGAAGTCCCTCGCGGCCCTCTTTAGATGGGCTACATGCTCTCCAGTTTGCCACAGTCCTCCCCTCTCCCTAATGCCTCCCCAATAAGATCCTTCTCATAATCAGTCTGCCTCACTCAGTTCTTTATTGCCTGTTTCCCGGCACCTGAGTTTCTAAGCCACAAGCAATCTTCTGTCGCAGATGTACGCGAATGTTTTCTGTAAAAAGCCAGAGAGTATAGATTTTAAGTTCTGCCCATCATAGGGTCTCTGTTGCAACAGCTCTTCGCCTCCACTGTTGCGGTACAACAGCAACCACAGTGGAGGGTCAAGCGTGGACGCGTGCCAGTCAGCCCATTTACAGAAGCAGGTGGTGGCTTGTCGCGCCCGCTCTTTTCACTGAGACGCAGCCCCTCTGCCCGACCCACTCGCCCCCACTGTCCTGAGCCCCAGCAGCCTCTGTCCCTGCCTGCCTGCCTTGCCTTCTGCTCCCCTACCGTCCACACATCTGAAGACAGAGGCTCAAATGTCTCCTTCAGGGCCTGGAGGCCAGGAGCGGAGCTGGCTGGGGCCCGGGGCAGAGCCTGCCCAGAAAACGATGCTGCTCCCGCTGGAGAATTCCCTCAAACTACAACGGACACCGCAGCTCGAGGGACTAGGTGAGCCTGGCCTCCTCCTCCATGCAGAGGAGGATGATGTGTGCGGATGACCCAACATGGGGTCCCATCTGACACAGGAGAAGAATCTGCATCTGGGAATAAGGAAATCAGACTCTCTGCCCAGAAAACACTTTCTGTGGCAGTGTCACATGTGAGTGACGCAGGATTCTGGTGGGAAGATGCCCACAGGGACCATTCAAGGCACTGGGCTTTGTGGACTGGGGAAAAAATGTTAGTCATTCAGTTGTGTCTGTCTCTCTGCGACCCCATGGACTGCAGCCCGCCAGGTTCCTCTGTCCATGGGATTCTCCAGGTAAGAATACTGGAATGGGTAGACATTTCCTTCTCCAGGGGATCTTCCCCACTCAGGGATCGAACATTGCACTGCAGGCAGATTCTTTACCGTCTGGGCCACCAGGGAAGCCCCACAGGGACTGGGGAAAGCTGAGGGCAAAGTGATCAGAGCAGAGGGCAGGGGGCAGGTGAGCCTAGTGTATCCAGAGAACCAAGACTGGAGGGGATCGCACGCACAGGTGGGGTGAGTAACACGGTCCCTGTGCCAAGGGAGCGTCTCTATCAATTACTGCGTTCAACACTCACAGAGGCCTGAGCGGGGAGCTCGCCATACCCCATTTAAGATGAGGAAACTGAGGAAAGGGGGGTTGGGGTTGGGGCTGGGCCTCCGGTCACACACAGGTGAGTGTTAGGGCTGGGAAGAGGACCCCAGTCTGGGGTCTGACTGGTTAGAAACGTGTCTTGCTGTGGCCTGTCCCCCATCATCGCTCTGCTTGGGTCTTGGTGGCGGGTGGGGGCTGTACCGGTAATTTTTCATCTTTTGATGACTCAAGAGTACCTCGGATTTTCTTTAATGAAAGTAAACAAATGAAGCACCTGGAGATCTAGACAGGAAGACAGGGTCAGCAGGGAGAGAGGACAGTGGCCCCTGCTTAACTGGCCAGGCCAAGGGGTGGGCAGGGACCACAGTTGTTAACCTCCCCTCCTTGCTTTTTTTTCAATTGAGGTAAAATCCACAGAACATAAAATTAACTGCTAGCCATTTTAACATGCACAGATTTGTGGCATTTACTGCATTCACAATGCTGCAGAGCTGCCACCCCTATCCAATTCCATGACCTGTTGGCCACCCCAAAGGGGAATTACATCACCACTAAGCAACCCCTCCCCAACCCCTGCCCTAGACCTTGGCAAACAGTACTTTCTGTCTCTATGGATTCCCTTCCTCTGGACATTTCCTATAAATGTAATCATGTACTATGTGGCCTTTTCTGTCTGGCTTCTTTCACCCGTCTTTCCAACACTCGTCCACTTTGTAGTGTGTGCTGGTTGGTGCCTCATTCCTTTTCAGGGCTGAATAATATTCAATTACATGGAGAGACCCCGGGTGCATGTTCAGTCGCTTCAGTCATGTCCGACTCTTTGCGACCCTATGGACTGCAGCCCGCCAGGCTCCTCTGTCCATGGGATTCTCTAGGTAAGAATACTGGACTGAGTTGCCATGCCCTCCTCCAGGGGATTTTCCTGACCCAGGGATCAAACTCGAGTCTGCCTGCATCTCCTGCATTGCAGGCAGATTCTTTACCCAGTTAGCCACCTGGGAAGCCCATGGAGTGATCCCGTTGTGTTTATTCATTCATCAGTAAACAGATATTTTGGGGTGTTTCCACTTTTGGGCTACTGTGGAAAATGATGCTGTGAACATCTGCATACAAGTTTCTGTGTGGACATGGAGTGGAGTGGAACTGTCAGGTCCTGACAACTCCATGCGTAACTTTTCTTTTCTGTTTTTTTTCATGCGTAACTTTTCAAGGAACTGCCAGACTGTTTTCTACCGTGGCTGCCTCCCTTCCGTTTTGCACTAGAATAGTCATTTCAAAGCTACCTGTCCTGGGCAACACCAATCTGAGATCTCAGAATGGGACGGGGTGGGGGGGGTGGTGGGGATGGAGGGTTTAAGACAAGGATCCCAGCACAGGAGACTGTTATATGGTGGTCAAGGGCTCTGGGGTTTGAATGCCTGGGTCTGGGTTCTGAGTTCCCTGCTTGTTGGGTGTGATCGGTGCCCAAAGACACCGATCTGAGAACATCAGTTCTCATCTGAACTCCTGAATATGTTACCTTATGTGGCAAAAGGGACTTTGCAGATGTGATTAAGGATTTTGATGGGGAGATGATCCTGTGGACCAATCACAGGGTTGCTTATGAGAGGGAGGCAGGAAGGGCAGAGCCAGAGGTGTGAGGATGGGGGTGGGGCACCAACCAAGGAACAGGGGTGAGAGGCCTCTAGAAGCTGGAAAAGCCGAGGAATGGATTCTCTGCTGGCGGACCTACAGGAGGAAAGCAGTCCTACCCAGTCATTTTAGACTTTGACCTCCAGGACTGTAAGATGATACACTTGCATTATGTCACTAAGTTGGTGTACAGTAGTATGTCACAGCAACAACAGGAAATGAACACATTACATGTATGACCTGAACCAGCTGGTGAACTTCTCAAGGCCTCTGTACACATCTGTAAAATGGGACTAGCAAATATACCCACTTGAGGACTGCCGTGAGGAATAAACTGGGTAATGTACGTACAGGCACTCTTCTCAGTTCAAGACCACTACGACAAAGCAAGTGTCAGTCGCTCAGTCGTGTCTGACTTTTGCAGCCCCATGGATTGTAGCCCACCAGACTCCTCTGTCCATGGGCTTCTCCAGGCAAGAATTCTGGAGTGGGAATCTCATGATAAAGCAAATACTACCAAAAAATGATTCTCATGGATTTTTTGGTTTCCCAGAGCACATATAAGCTGTTTGTACTATACTGTAGTCTATTAAGTGTGCAACAGCATTGTGTCTAAATGTACAAATTTTAACTAAAAAATACCTTGCTGAAAAATGCCAAAACAACATTGAAGATCACTGATCACAGATTGCCCTAACAAATATAGGAATGATGAAAGTTTCCAAATGCTGCTGGAAAATGCTACCAACAAGATTCGCTCAACCCAAGGTGGCATAGACCTTCAATCTGTCAAAAAAGTACACCATCTGTGAAAGTGCAGTAAACAAAGGTGAACCCATGTAGGGTCAGGCAGAGCCTAACGCTAGCCAACATGTTTTCCCAGCAAGACTGAAAGCCCCACAAGGGACAAGAAGGTGTGTCCACCTGGTTTGCAGCCAGTCCCAAGCGCTGAGATGGCTTGGCCCCTGCTATGGGGGGAGGTGGGGGGCGGTGAAAGCTGCCTCCAGGTGTTGTGTCGGGGCCCCAGGCCCCAGGTTCTGGGGAGAGAGCTCATGCAAGCGACCTTAACTATCATCTTGCGGGGTCATCGTGAGGGTCAGAACGGGGAGAACCTGGAGGCTACAGCTGTTCCACGAGGCAATAGACGGCTGCCCAGGCACGGGTGGTGGACAGGTCACCGCTTCTTCTTTCCCTCACCTCCTTGTCTCCATTTTACCTCCCTCTATCCCTCCAACCCATGAAATCAAAAGACGTTTACTCCTTAAAAGGAAAGTTATGACCAATCTAGATAGCATATTAAAAAGCAGAGACATTACTTTGCCAACAAAGGTCCGTCTGGTTAAGACTATGGTTTTTCCAGTGGTCATGTATAGATGTGAGAGTTGGACTATAAAGAAAGCTGAGCACCGAAGAATTGATGCTTTTGAACTGTGGTGTTGGAGAAGACTCTTGAGAGTCCCTTGGACTGCAAGGAGATCCAACCAGTCCATCCTAAAGGAGATCGGTCCTGGGTGTTCACTGGAAGGACTGATGTTGAAGCTGAACTCCAATATTTTGGCCAGCTGATGCAAAGAGGTGACTCATTTGAAAAGACCCTGATGCTGGGAAAGATTGAGGGCAGGAGAAGGGGACGACAGAGGATGAGATGGTTGGATGGTATCACCAACGCAATGGACATGACTTTGGGTAAACTGCAGGAGTTGGTGATGGACAGGGAGGCCTGACGTGCTGCAGTCTGTGGGGTCACTAAGAGTTGGACATGACTGAGCTACTGAACTGAACTGATCCCTCCAACACACCACCATCTTTTTCTTTTTTTCACCTGTGAAGTCAACAGCGGCTGAGGGCCAGGCTGTTCCAGGTTGCTTCTCTGGTCTTTTGAGAAAAAGTGACCCAGGGTGAAGAGGCCGCCAGGCCTGTGGCCTCTTGCCTGCTTCCGCAGCACTCACGGAGGTTCAGAGGCGGCAAGCACAGCTGTGGGGCACAGGGCCCGCCCTCGCTTGAACTCCTGGGGGGCGGGGTTGTGCTGGGGGAGTGGTGGGAGGCGGGGCGGGTTGCTAAGGCCTCAGGTCCTGCGGACCTGGAAGCAGGAGGCAATCTGTGCTCCCTGGACCTAGGAGCCACCTGACTGGGGCCATTCCAAGGCAGGTGGGGGTCTGGGGATGGGGCTGCTTTGGGGGGCAGGTGGGAAGGGGGTTGCCTAGGCCAGGGTCAGGAGAGGAGCAGGAGAGAAGCAGTGTAGGGGCAAGGATCCAGGGGGCTCTGTGGGAGGACAGTGTAAGGGCTGGCCTGCAGCAGCCCCAGTGAAGCCATGATTCTGAGGGGCCCTCTGTGGGGGGGCTGGAGCAGGTGGCACCCAGGACCTCCCAGCTGAGATGGACTTGATGACCTTGTTCTTCCACTCCAATTGGACCATCGCCTTTGTCTTCGTCCTTGGTGAGTGAGGCTCAGCCCCGGTCCCCATCAGCCTCCCAGGCCCAGGGCCTTATCTGACCCCCGTCCTGCCCACAGTGGTCATGGTGCTCCTGCTGCTGTTTGGCATCAACGGCTGCGCTGGCGGCTGTATTCCCGGCTGTGGCGGCTGTATTCCTGGCTGTGGCGGCTGTATTCCCGGCTGTGGCAGCTGTATTCCCGGCTGTGGCAGCTGTATTCCCGGCTGTGGCAGCTGTATTCCCGGCTGTGGCGGCTGTATTCCCGGCTGTGGTGGCTGTATTCCTGGCAGCTCCCTGCCCTGCTGACAAGGCTGCTCCTCCGGGTCCCAGAAGGTGAGCTCTGAGCACCAGGGCCGGGCGGGCACTGGGGCAGCGAGGAGCTGCAGTAGGTTGGGTGGGAGGCCAAGGAGTGAAGTCACTGGCCCCCCTGTGCCTTTCTTGTAGGAATCCACCCCTACCCCAGGGATTTGATAACTTCGCCTGGAGCCTTAATGCGGACAGTCCCTGCCTCCCTGCCTTTGCTCTGCTGGAGAGTAATAACAAAACCTCGTTCAGCCAAAGCCTGAGTCTACAGCTTGTCCCATCAGGGTGGGCAGTGCAGGTCCTTACGGCTTCACTGGGTTCCCCAGACTTCAGCTGGCATGGCTGTTACCAGGAGACCTTAGGTGACATGCTGTTCACCAGTCCACTCAACCCCTCAGTACCTGGGAGGCCAAGTCACTGGGTACTCAGCCTGGCTCCTAACTATCAGGGGCCCTTAGCCAGGTCCCCACCCGGACAGACAGAGAGAAGGGCTCCAGACGAAGTTGGACAATCTTTATTTCTTGGACACCCCGCCAGGGTTGCTGAGTGAATGCAGTCGTGGTGGGGGGGCTTCTGTCCTTCTTCCCTCCCCGCCCAGCCCTCAGGTTCAAGCGGGAGGGGGTGTGTGGCCGCCCCTCGCTCTCCTGGGGGTGGGGCCAGGCAGGAGGTGAAGGGGGAGGAAGGAGAGCCTGGCTCCAGCCCAAGTCTAAAGGCTCCTGCCCTGTCGGGAGGCCAGGATGTGGACTGGAGGCCACTGTGTGCCTCCTCACCTCCCCCATCCAAAACAAAAAGCCCACCGGCGTCCCCTCCTCCCAGCGGATCCAATGTTCCAGCCCGTCTGTGCAGGGGTGACAGGCAGGGTAGGGTGAAGGGGGAAATAAATAGCCTGCAGTGCCCGGCCCGGGACTGCACTCTGGGGTTGGGGGTGTGTAGGGAGAAAGGACGCCCTGGGCTCCACTCCCTGGGGACAGGCTCTTGGATGCTCTGTTCAGAAAGGCCTGCAGCTCCAGTAGCTGGAGAACACGGAGATCTGGGGAGGAGGGAGATGGAAGACGTGATGAGGGGTGGGGCCAGGGGGTCTGCCCTGCTGCAGCCTCTGTCATCCAAGGGCCAAGCGGCCGGAAAAAGACAGTGTTGCCGAGTGACACCATGGCCCACCCCCGACTGGTGTGCACAGAGTGTAACAGATCTTAAGATCAGGGGCTGCTTTGGAGACACACAGGAGCCCTTGGCATCCCCGCCCCCACCCCAAAAGAAGGGGCTGAGTGGCCCGTGGATTGGGTGGCCTCCTCTGAGTGAGGTCCAGCCCGGCCCTGACCCCTATGTCCCCACCTTATCCTTGAGCTGCTGGCAGAGCTGCAGGGAGACGGTGAAGAAGACCAGGGCGTCGTTGAGCCAGGGGATCACGGACTCCACCTTGTGCACGTGGCTCACCTCCAGGCGCTGCGTGCCCCACTCGCTGGGGGAGACGAGAGCGGCCCTGAGGGCGGCCCAGAGGGCCAGGGTCACCCTCGGAGGGGCAGGGGCGCTCCTGAGACCCCTCTCAGGTAGCATACTTACAACATGGCCCCAGGGCTGTGCAGTACGGCGCCTCCTGCTGGGCGGAAGTTCTAGACAAGAAAGCATCAGATGGGGTCAGGCCTGGGACCACAGGGTGGGCGAGGGCAGGCTGGGTGCGGGGGCTCACCTTGGTGGAATTGGGCTGCAGGGCATGCAGCTGGTACACGGTGAGGCAGAGCTTGTTGAGGTTGATGTAGACGTTGACCAGGAGGTCAGAAGGCAGGGTGGGGGCGAACATCCGCTGTGAGGGGAGGGCCGGGCATCCAGCGGGGATGAGGGCCAGCAGGCACGTCCCACCCCCCCCGCCCCTCCAACCTCTGTGGGGGAATCCCAGTCCCCATCCTGTGGACTGGGGCCTTCTGATTCTTGCCAGGTGCCCCAGGTAGCTTCCTGCACCACTGGGCTTGGAAACCAGTGGACCCGGATCTGAGGCGGGGGGGGAGATATATTTTGGGGATTCAGAATGGAAGCCAAAGACCCAATCCAAGAAAACCGCAGAGAACTCTGTCAACAATCTGGGGCTTGCAGGACGCCCTGGCACCTGTGTCCTTCCCGCCTCTCCTGGAGCAGGTGTGGGCCTGAGGCACTGACCGTGAGGCCGCTGGCAGCAATCTCAGGCAGAGTGAGGGTGGCAGGAGTGGTGAGCCGGTTGCGGGCTCTGGTCAGCTGCAGCATCACGGCATCCATCAGCTGGGGAGGAGAGCTGGTCACAGCGGGTGCCGGGGCAGCCCCATCAGGAGGAATCAAGTTATGGGAGCTCCCAATTCCTTCCCTGGGGGTCACAGACTCAGGCCCGGAACCCCTGCAGCATGGGGCTTGCTAAAGATGCGGGTGATCGGGCTCCAGCTGGGGTTGGGGGCAGGACATCTGTGCTGCTGACCACCCATCCAGAAGGTTCTACCATCTGGGATCTGGGGTCCTGGTCCAATTGGGTTGGAGGAGCCCGGAAGTCAGTCCCAGGAGGCCAAGGGCTTCGAGGATGAGGGTTCAGGCAATGAAGGAGCTTAGGATGGATCCTAACTCAGCTTGGGTGTAAGGGGTCAGGGAGGGTTTCCTTGAGGAGGCACTGGGACGGCTGAGTTGAGGCCTTAAGGTGGACAGGAGCCCTGTTTTCACAGGTGAGGAAGGAAACTGAGGCTCCATAGGTCCAAGGCCACATGGCTGGGGAATGGTGGAACCTCTGGAGACTCATCCCCTCCCTCTGCATGGGAGCAAAGCTCTCACAGACCCAGTGCCCACTGCTTCCAGCTCTTCACCCAGCTGCTGCTGTGGGTGCTGGGGTCACCTGGCTCCCGGGAAAGGCAGAATTACTGGGCTGCACATTACACCCCAAAGGACATTCACAGTTCTGAGAGGGACTTTGGTCCATCTGGTTTTGAGTTTTCATATCAGGCCCAGAGATGGCATGCAAACCACCCGAGGACACACAGCAAGTTGGAGGCAGGGCTAAAGCCTGAACTCAGGAAACCTGAGCTCATCTGTCCCTTCACACCATGTGGATTCACTTTGTTAATTACAGAAGCTTTTCTGTTGCTGGTAGTAATACCTGTAGCTCCCATCTACTGGGTGCTTACTAGAGGTAACATCATCCGCATTGTCACGATGGCAGGCATGACAGCTTGTCCCTACCTTTTATCAGGTGAGGGAACTGAGGCACAGAATGGCTGAGTAAGGGATTTGAGGTGGCCTGGCTCATAGTGCAGGCTCTGGGATCAGAACCCACATCTGTTTCTGGGGCCTGGGTTGTGAGCCATTCAACTGGCTGGAAGGACATGGCGTACACCAAGAGGTGAAGAAGGGTCGACTCTCAGCTTCACCTGAGGGTAGGGGCAGAGCTCTCCAGGGGCCCGATCGGTGGTCAGGGAACCGGGCTCTCCCACTCCTGAGGCGGCTCACCTTGAGGACCTCTGCTCCCGTCCTGAACTGGTAGCTCTCATCACGGTTGGCGAGGAGATAAATGGCTTGGCTCACATGGTTCCTGGCATCTTGGATCTAAAAGCAGGGCCCACTGAGCGGTCAGTGGGCTGGGCCTTGGCAGGGAAAGGTGCCAGCCTCAGCTCACCCACGGTCTCTGGGGGCACAGCCTAGGGATCCCCACCCCGAGGGTCTATCTTCCTAGTGGGGGTGGGGTGGGTGCCACCTGCCGGGCCTGGCTGGTGCAGTGAGGCAGCCTCGCTCCCCAGTCCCTTGCAGCTCACTTTCCAAAGGAGGACAGAGGGTAACAGAGGAAAGGCACAGGATAATAGCCTGTTCAGCTTTCACAAGGAAACAAGGTGATGGGGGGCGGGGGCGCGGCGGCGAGGGAAGGCAACTCTTAAGTGGAAGCTTGTGCGGTGGCAAAAGCTGAGGGAGTGGACTCCAGGCAGAGGGACAAGTCCAAGCAAAGACCGTGAAGTGGAAACAGCTGATGGCCAGTGAGAGGGGACAGGGAGGCGGCAGAAGCCAGGCCCAATTACAGGACAGGCTAGGAGACCAGGCACTGCCCACCCCAGCTGCGCTGTTAGGAAATATCTTTTTAAGTCCGCTGCAGCCGCAAGGCCCCGCAGCGGCCAGCCCTGGAGGCCTCAGCGCTGCAAGGGCCTGTTCCTGCCTGCCCTTGTGCCCTGGGCCCTGGCCGGGGAAGGGCCCAGTTACCTGCTGCAGTTTCCACTGCTTGTCCTCCCGGAAGGCAAAGTGCAGCAGCTGGTTGTTCCTGGGCATCTTCAGGTTCACGTCCTGACAGGCAAGGGTAGGCTAAGCTGGGCAGAAGGATGCCCTCCTGCTGCCGGCCACTCTGAGCCCTTGGGACGGGGGCAGAAACAGTGTGTGTGGTGGCTCAGGCCCTAGCCACTCCATGCGGGAGAGGGGTAAGAACATGGCCATTTGGGCGGGGGCCAACAGGGAACAGGAAACAGGAACTCAGGCCCAAGAGGAACCACACAGAAATGAAAGGGAAAAGAGCCACGAAAGGGGAAGGTGGCTTCTGCTGGGAGGGAGGAGGTGTGTGGTTGTGGGCAGATGGAGGACATTTGCAGGTGCCAAGGGATGGAACGCCCACCCGAGGAGGAGGGGGACCTTCCCCCAGGCCTTGGCACCTGCTACAGGATCAAGGGCAGAAAGAGTTAAGATGTTGGTCTGGGGCCAGCCTAATCCCGGGGTCAGACTATAGGTAGTGCCGTGTGCAAAGCACCACCCACTGCCCCCACCCCCCACTTGCTGCACCTCTCAATGGAGTCACACACCTATCTCGGAAGCAGGTTACAGGGGTTGTTGCCATTTTCAAACAAGGAAACCGAGGCCCAGAGAGGTCAAGGATCCTGTCCAGAGTCACATAGCTAGAGGGTGGCAGAGCTGAGCTAAAGCAGGAGGCCCCCCACCCCCCGACTCTTTCCCACTGGCTGCTGTGGCGGCATGGGAAGAGGCCAGGGGCCGGGGGACTCACCGCCTGGCTCAGCGCGTCTCCCTGCAGAGTCAGCACGCCCTTCACCTGGTCTGTGCTACAACAAGTGGGGGTCAGAGCAGTACTGCAGCTGCCCCCTCCCACCACCCCAGCCTCCCAGCGGCTGTCACAGGATAGTCTAGCCTGTCCCACTGCACACCCTCTGGACACTGGAGTTGGAATCAGTTTGCAGGGCAGGGCCGTGGCCATGCCACCAGTCCTGGAGGGTATCCCCAAGGGTCCCTCCTCCCAGAAGTCCACCCCCCAACCCCTCCCCAGTTTCCACCCAGCCCAGGCTCACCCACAGCTGCCCAAGACGAAGTTCTCCTGCTTCGTGGGCCCCTCGGTGCCTGAGCCTGGCAGAGTGA